TCTATCCAATATCTTATGAGATGAGAGGTAAAATAAGGAAGCTGGAGCTATGCTTAGGGGCGACAGTACTTCCTTAGGGCAGGCCTGTCATCAAATATTGATGTAACCTCTCTAGGTATGTGGCAGTACACTGGGCAGGAGAGGGTTACTATGAACTGCTCTCAAGAACTGAAATGTGATGGGGTGCCAATTATAATCATTGTCTTTCTGATCCCACCTCCCAAAACATGCCTCTGACAGACCTGTCCATTTCCTCCCTTCTGCACAGAATGTGGGAAAAGACTGAATTCGACTATATCCCTTTATACCAAGGGCTCCTAACGTGGGGCCCACAGACACCCAAGGCATTTGTAGATTTCAAGGGATCCATCAATTTCAGGGGCAAAAATTGAATCTTTTCACTAACCTCTGAATGAAATCTCACATTTCTTGTGGTTGTAAATTTTTAATGAACCATAATTCTGAAAAGGGCTTTACTAGACTGCTAAAGGGATCCAGATTCAGGACAGAGAAGGCAAAGAACTCCTGCTTTTTTTCATGAGATCTCAGACCCTGAATACTTCCGTGGTGAACTGGTTTGGGATCACAGAGAAAGAACATGAAAAGGGGCCAGTCTCTATATAACAACTCCCTTTGTCCTCTGGGTAGGATGTACTCAGTTTGCCAAACCTACATACAAAGATTAATTTCATGTCCTAACCCTAAGCTGCATGAGAAGTTTTATATGATAAAATCCTACAAAGTAAAAACATATACAGTAAAATCCTACGAACTTGCTCTAACTTACAAAATCACTTCAAACTCAGTGAGCTTCAGTTTCTTCATCTGTAAAATGGGAGATAATGATACCTCTGCTACCAACTACCTCATAGGACTTTTGCAGGAGAAAGTGCTTTGCAATCCTTAAAGCACTTTACAAACAGGAGGTGGGATTCCTATGATTACAGTCATTCCCCAGCATCCTAAAGGATTACTACAGGAGCTAACTGGTAAATGGAGGCATACCCAGTGGGTCCACTGTTTCCAAATTTCCTCCATCTACTTCATCAGCAGCATCCCCGTCAATAGCCTCATTCTTAGACTTTTCTTCACTCTGTAACCAAGCAACACAACACTGGGCTCAGGAACTCTTTGCTATTAAACCATCTCTGTTACTTCAGTATTCACTTTTATAAGGTAATTGAGTAGTTTCTTCATTTAGATTAAAGGCTAATCACCTATGACTTGAAGGCAGGATGTGGCCCATTTAATGAGTCCCAAGAGAGCAGGCATGATGGTAGTGGCTGGATTGCAGGGGTAGTTTCAGTCTGGACAAGCAACCCTGGAATTTCGGGTTCAGTCACAAGTAGCGGGAATAACCCGGTAAAGTGATGTATATTGAGACACTGGCCAGGTGATTTTTCCATGACAAAAGGGAAGATGCCTCTGTCCTAAAGAAAAACACCTGGTACTCAGTTTCTCTGGGAGGCAGTGCTTACTGCCTGCAATTACACAAGGGCATTGTTTTTCAGAAACAGGCCAGGGCAATGAATCAGAAACAGGAAAGATATAGGAAAATATATACAAACTTTCACACATCACAAAAAGAGACTTCCAAGTAAGAGCAGGCAATTCTGAAGGACACTGCAAGGCTCTGTCACTTCATAACGTGGCACCCTTATATCACAACTTCATTCATTCAGAGGGCCAGCATGATGCAGTGGAAAGAAATGCCACAGAGTCAAGAGGCCGAGATGTGACTCTCAGCTTTGGGACGTTGGGCAAGTCATTTCTCTGAGCCTCAGTTTCCTCACCTGCAAGATGGTGATGATGAGATGAGAGGATTTAGAACTCAATTCCAAGCCAGATCATCTGACTCCAAAGCCAGTGCCCTTTCCAAACTACAATACCTTAGAGGCAAGTTTTATCATTTCACTTATATTTAAGGAGAATATGTCTGAATGCAGAATTTAACAAAACCTTTTTTAAGTGAGCACCTGTGTGGTGTAATAGATAGAGAACTTAACCCCAGAGGCAGGAAGACCTGGGTTCAAATCTCCCCCCCTTGGATACATCTTGGCCATGTCACCATGCTCTAGGTCAGAGGCAGAACCCCGGCAGGCAGAACCAGATTAAAACGTAACTAAACAGTTACCAAAATAAATAGAAATACAAATTGTGGTTTTCTAAGTTAACATATGGTACACAGGGATCGTGCTGTTCAGTTCAGCTGCCCCTTTTCTATTTGAGTCTGACTCCACTGCTCTAGGCAGCACTCTAAGGTGCCAACCTATAATGGTAGGGGGAATTCTGGGTAGCCAAGAATTCTCTAGTCCAGTGAAACCACAGGTCCAACCCCTATCCTATTCCCCTAAGCATAGTGTAACAACTTCATTCACCTTACTACAAAATTTAGCCTCTGATTTTTAAAAAAGAGCATGAAATTATCAAGTTTGCAGCGAGAATTCTAGCACTTAACAAGCTGAGATTAAAGAAAAGATATCTTGATTTCACTTGCTTTCTGGGAGGGCTAGAAGGTCCCCTCCTCTTTCAGTCCTTTGTCCCTGTAGAATAAAAACTGTCCTGATCCAAACTGGGTTAGGCACAAGGATGATCAAAAGAGAAGGCAAGTAAAGCAGGGAGAGATTCCACAGCTGTTTTAATGTTTCAGATCTCCTTTGGGAAGAAAAGCTGATGAGTAAAAATGAATTCCTAAATAGGACCAAAGCAGTCAGCATCACTCTGATTATTCAGAGACCCTGAACCTCCAATGTTAAATGAGTAGGATCATAATTGCAGACTGCAAACTTCACAGTGCCAATATTACTACGTACTTTCCCTCAACTACCTGGTACAATAACTGGTAGTAAAACCACTGTCCTCATTTATAAGCAGGGAAATTGAGGCTCAGAGAAGTGAAAGAACTTGCCTTCAATCACACAGCAAGAATTGTGGGAGTTAGGATTCAAAAGGCTTTGTAAGCCTTCAGTCAATAAGCACTTATTCAGTGCTTACTAGGTGCCAGCTATGTCCTAAGCACTGGTCATACAAAGAAAGGCAAAAGTAGGGTCCCTGCGCTCAAGGAGCTCATATTCTGATGGGGGAAACAACATACACACACCTGTTCAAACAAGAGAAAGAGCATAAATGAAAAGTCATCTGAGGGGAAATGTCACTTGGAACAGGGAAAACTAAAAAAGTTCTTCAGAAGATGGGATTCGAGCCCAGTTCTGAAGGAAGCCAGAAGAATAGTAAGCAGAGGTAAGGGGGGAGAACATTCTGGGCATGGGAACGCAGCCTGGAAAATGGCACAGTGTTAGAAGGTGGAGTTTCATTTCTAAGAAACAGCAAGGGGGCCAGTGTCATTGGAACATAAAGTACATAAAGCATGAGGAGACTGGAAAGGTAGAAAGGATCCAATGGGAGATCTGGGAGTTCTGCCTGGAATTTATTAAGCAGGGGAGGTAACGTAGTCAGACCTGTGCTTTAGGGAGATCACTCTGGCACCCAATAGCAGGATAAGCTAGAATGGGGAGGGACTTGAGGCAGGCAGTCCCACTGGCAATAGTCCAAGTGAGAGGTGATGAGGGCCTGCACCAGGGTAGGGGCAGTGGCATAAGAGAAGAGAGACAGTATTCCAGACATGTTGTGAAGGTAGAAAACAAGACTAGGGACAGATTGGATACATGAGGTAAGCCATGACACTGAGGAAGCAGACCTGGGTGACTGGGAAGTTAGGTGTACCCTCAACAGTAATAGAAAAGTTAAGAAGAGGGAAGGGTTTGGGAGGAAACATAATGGATGATAAATTTTAAGGTGTTATATAAGCGTGAGTTAACATTAATCGATTTATTGGACTGAATAACATTTGTCCAGGTTACAATTCATCAGCATTTCTACCAGAGTTATATAAGCACATTTTCAATCTGCTATTCGTAAGCAGTACTGATACAATTTTCATATGGCAAGACAGCTAAAACTCTAAGGCTGGAGTTCTTAGTGGGCATCAATGACCTTTTTTTTTTTTTAGTATTTTGCTAACTGAATTTCAACATCATTGGTTTCCTTTTGAACTTTAAACATTTGTAAACACGATTCTGAGAAGGGGCCCATCAGTAGGCATCGCCAGCCAAAGGGACCCAGGACCCAAGAAAGGTTCAGATGCCCTGATCAAGGGTCCTCGTGGGGTTCCTTTTCCCCAGGCTTCCTCATTTCAATGCAGTTAATTCAACGAGCATTTAGTGAGCACTTATTAGATGCCAGGCATTGGAAATATAGAGACAAAATTAAAACGTTCTCTGTCCACAAGAAGTTTATATCCTACTGGGGACAAGCAACATGCACACAGATAAGAAAATGTCAAACAAATACAAAATGATTTTTGGGAGGAGGGAAGTGGCAACCCTCACCACTTGGAGAAGCTGGAAAATTCTCTTGTAGGTGGTGGCCAAGGTGAGGAGGGAAAGAATTTGAGGTATGTGGGACAAGCAGCCCAAAGATGGGAGACAGAGGTCGTGTATGGGACATAACAAGTAGGTCAAGTTCACCTGAATATGGAACATGTGAATGTGTAATCTGACCCAGCTGATTGAGAGATAAGAAGATAAACATCAACAGGAACAGCCCCACCCCCTCAAAGAGGCTTACCTGCTCAGAATTCAGTTCAACCTTTCTGGTTCTTCTCATAATTTCCTCAATTCTCTATTAGGAGAAAAAAATATAACTATACATCTCTAAAACAGAACTATAAAACAGCTATAAAAATAAATTGGTAGAACTGAAACAGGAGGTTGTTAAATTTATCATCTTTGGCAAGCTGTTTCCTCGTCCTGTTTCATTGTCCTCTTCTGTCAAATTGATACAAATGACCTAAGAAGCTGGGACCCTAATTTCCTTCCTTACTGTTCTGATTATATAGCACTCTGAATGCCAATTGCCTCGTTTCTCATTTTAATTTAGCAAACCAAATGATAATTTTCACATATAGTTTTTGCAGAACAGAAAGATCATTATTTAGCATAAGTAAAGATTATTGCCAATAAATAAGAATTGACGTTTTTGAAGTAATCTCAAATTATCTTACCAGCTAAGACACGCATATTAACAACAGTAGCTAATATTTTATATAGGGTGTATCAAAAATTTTAGTGCAGTTGTAAGCTTACATAGCTTACAACTATACTAAGACCTTTGGGACACCCTGGATAGTGCTTCTAAGTTTGCAAAGCATTTCAGGTATACTATCTCATTTGATTGATTTTCACAACCACCATTATTATCCCCATTTTAGAGATAAGGAAACTAAGGCTGAAAGAGGTTGAGTGACTTGTTTGGGTCACACAGCTACAAAGTGTCTGAGGCAAGACTCGAACTCATATCTCTTTGATTCTAATTCTGGCACCTAACTACCTCTTTAAATTTAGAGTACGTGCTCCTGTGTCACGCACTGTGTGTAAGAAACTTTGCTAACAGACGGAGAAATCATAAAGGAAATCTAGGAATGCATTTTAGGACTTGGATTCTCTTGGCATGACACAGCCTCCTTCCCCTCCAAGATAAGGTTGACTGTGGCCCCCTACTTTCTCAGCCTGCTCAGGGCACTCAGGACACAGAGTCCAGGGATAACTGTCCTCATCCTCAGGTGACCAAACCTTGCAACCCCTTGGAATGTAGGGCCCAAGACCTGGCCTGCCCATAAGAAGCTCATACCTAAGCCAATACCATTGCTTTCTCCTCAGCTGTTATCAAAACTGCCCTTGTGTCAAGGTGCTAAGTTTCCTCAATTCTTTCCATGGCCAAGGCCCTTTTTAAAAAAAAAAAGAAGCTTTATTTCCAGAGGATTCTATTACTGGAGGTACCACTATAACGACTCCTCCCTCCCCAACGGCACAGACAGCTACCAATATTCCACCAAGTACAGAGGAGGAAGGGAAGAGAAGAGCATTTTCTCCCATGAAGGGCCATCCAAGGCCCCTGTCAAGAAGGTGGGAAGAGAGGGGCAGCTAGGTGGCACAGTGGACAGAGCAATGACCCTGGAGTCAGGAGGATCTGAGTTCAAATCTGGCCTCAGAGACTTGACACTAGCTGTGTGACCCTGGGCAAGTCACCTAATGTCATTGCCTAGCCAAAAAAAAGAAGGTGGGAAGAACAGGGACACGGCATTTGCCTGCTGGCCCCAGCAATGATTGTTCTACCAAAACACTTTGCCCCAACACCTGACTGACCTTTTTCCTCTCCAGACGTTCTTGAATACTCTGCTCCATGATCCTTTCCCGCTCCCGCCTCTGCCTTTCAGCTTCTTCCTGGCTTTGGCCTCAGCTTCCTCCTTCTATAATAAGTAGGAAAACAGCATCAAGGACACACCACTCAGTTTCAAGAATTCTAAATGCAGTAGAAGAAGAGCTCTGGAATCCAGTCACTCAATGAATTTGGTGACAACAGGACTACTACAAGAGCATTAAGTGGGCCCTCAAGAGCATGACATTTGATAAAACAATGCCACAGAGTGCAGCTGGTTCCACAGGAACAATGTAGATCCATCATACGCAATATGTCAGCTGTAAGCAAATTGACACTTGGGGAAGCTAATGTTGCTGGAACAAAAGCCCAAGTCGTATTGTCAGCCATCAAATTAGTACTCTGGGTGAGAAGTCAAATGACACTACATTGGGTCATGATGCATTAATGATATTACAGCAAGATGACACTGGCTGGGGCACTGTTGGGCAGAGCATGCTTGAGTACCACACACAGATCAAGATCACCAATTCTATAAAACATGAGGGTACAATAAAATATGACTAACGCTAAAATGATACTACCGAATAGAATTTCATCTTTATCTGAGACTCCAGATGGTACCTCAGGCACTTGTAGGGTACTAGGGTCATCATTAAGAACATCAGTCATCACAGCACTGTAAGTGTGGAGTGATAGGAAAGTTTGGGTTACTAGAACTCTGAATGAATCAACTTTTATTGTAATTGTATGGTAAAACTGAAAATCTTTCTTATTACACCAATATAGCAGTTTTTATGGAAAATCTGAGCCCTCCACTAATATGCTAAATCAGAGCCAAAATTCCTAAATCTCCCAGTAGTGCTTAAAAGGTTCTCAGTGCGAATGTCATTTCTACAATACAGCTAATTCCATTTTGCAAGGCTTAAGACTAAGAAGAGAGAGGTATGAAGTGGATTGTTGGGAATAAAAATCCCTGAGAGACCAGTGCCAGACAAGGGAATTAGGCTGACCCATTACAAGTTCATAATGTTTATGCTCCATTCCAGCCAAACTAGAATATTCCCTGTTCCCTAAATATGGCCTGTAATTCCTTGCTTTTGGGTCTTTGCTCATGCTAAGCCACAGATGAGAACTGCCTTCCTTGTTCTGGGCAATGCTCATCTCCACCTCTTTCCCTATTATGATCACACCTTCTCTTCTAAGCTTCAGGTTGAAGGCCACCTCGTGCCCATCATGATCACCTGGCACTCTACCCTCCTTTTAGACACATCTCATATTTATCTGTGGGTGCATCTTATAGCCTGGCTGCTTGTTTGTAAGCTCAAGAGTAAGTGGGAGTAACTTTATTATCTCTCCTTTTCTCCTGGTGCTCAGAACAATGCAATTGATTGTACATACGTATTTGCTGAAGGAATTTCAACTAGACCTTTGCCACTGGCTTTGTACTCTAAGCTATGAGCCAAAGATTTGGAAATGTTCTTTTCCTCTTTATTTAAACCCCCACTCTTTCATCTTTGTCCCATCTCTGCTTTCAAGAGGATCTTATCTCTCATTTAACTGAAATGGACATGCTGCCTCAGTGATCTTCCCAATTCCAATCTTGTTCAACCTTTAAAGCCACCTCCTCCAGTCTTCTCCTACCAGTCCAGATCATAACGTTCACTTCTCTGACCTTCAGCGCTTATACTTTATCCCACACATTTTGGTTCTCTATTACACATTGTCTTGTATTCTTCTCTAATTGTTTAAGTGTCTTGTCTATCCAACAAGATTATGAGCTCAAGGAAAGAGGCTATTTCCTTCCTTCTTTCAACAAATGATTACTTCTTGATAAAACTGTCTTCACAAGCACTTAATTTCATGGGCCTGAGACAGTAACTATTATAACTAAAAAATACTTGGAAAAACAGTTGATTTCAGTTTTCTCTTTTAGTCTGGTGCTCAGATCAGGTCACAGACACAACCTGTGTGAGATAACTTCCAAATAGTGCTTAATTTTTAAGGTTCCTGGGTAATGAAAGTATAAAAAAATCTAAGCATAGAATTCATTGAACATACAAGAAGACAGAGTACTAGGTAAGACATGCGCTACACAGAGCAGACATCAGGATTATTAGTGAGCACACAGGACTACTGCTATTTGCTAGGCAGAGAGCTTAGCACACCTGCTGCTGGAGTTCAGCCAGACGCTCCTGCTCTTGGGCCCTGCTCTCGTCTATCTTCCGCTGCTGTTCTTCCAGCGACCTTGTTGCCTCAAGTTGACAGAACTCAGCTTGCCTTTTTTCCTCGTCTTCAATGGCTTTCTTCTCAATATGCTCATTTACTTTCCTAATTACAGAAGCAGAAAATTTACAGATTCACTAATCTTGAAATGGATTTTGTTGGTATTTCCTTTTCCTAAAATATGGCTCCAGAAGTGTTTTTTAAAAACACAGCCAAAAGCCTCATTTACAGGATCACCCTCTACTTTCGCACTTTCCTGTAATTTACATTAGTGTCACTAACACTCTTCCCTCCCTCCACTGCCCCACCAACCCTTTTACATCACTGGAGTAGATGTCAAAAGAACTGATGTGAATCTAGGCCTTGCCATAAACTAACTCTGTGACCTTGAAAAAGGCCTCATAAGGAAAATGCCTTCATCTGCTGACCAGGGATGACAGCATTTATACTAACAGGGTAGTTGAGAGAAGTACATGAGAATATATGTGAAAATACTAATAAATAAAATTTGTGCTTGTGCCTATATTTGCTACACAAAAGAGTTCGATTGTGGAAGAAGAGGTAATAAAGGACTGAGATTTTTTTTTATGATTGCACACTACTCCCATTTTTTTTTCTTCAGGGAAACTGGTTTAGAAGAGAAGATTGATTCTTATACAAATATCTAATAATAACCGATTTTGCTATGTTGTTGTTGAGTCATTGCAATCACGCCGAACTCTCTGTGACCCCATTTGGGTTTTTCCCACACAAGGATACTGAAGCCATTTCCTTCTCCAACTCATTTTCCAGACGAGGAAACTGAGGCAAACATAGATAAGGGACTTGCCCAGGGTCACACAGCTATTAAGTGTCTAAGGCTGAATTTGAATTCAGGTCCTCCTAACTCCAGAGCCGGTGCTCTAACCACTGAGCCACCTAACTGCCTCTGCATAGTGTGTTAAAATTTACGAAGCACTTTACATAAAGTATCTCACTTGAGCCCCATAACAACCCTATGAGGTAGGTGCTACAGTTTTTATCACTACTGTGCAGAAGAGGCAACTAAGGCTCAGAAAGGTTAAGTGACTTGCCTATGGTCACACAGCTAACAAGTGGACTCAGATCTTCTTCTGTCTATTGTATTCTGGGCTTCCTCTCAAATTTTACCGTCCACTAATTTAAATGATAAACAGTTCTAAACAATGTTATGCATATTCTCATCTGTGTGCCTTTGCTTATGAAGATGCCCTTCCCTTCATCCTTCTTACCTAGCTTTCCAAATCTCACTCAATTTCTTACTCCACTCAGAAGGTATTAATTATTCTCTACAGTTCCCACAATCATACCACACAATGTAACACAATCATACTCTCCTGTATAGTCTAGTAACTGTTCTTGTAAATCATCAGGCCTAGGAGCCAGTATAATAAAAATGACAATTCTACCTAAATCAATTTACTTATTCAGTGCTATACCAATCAAACTACCAAAAATTATTTTACAGAGCTAGAAAAAATAATAACAAAATTCATCTGGAAGAACAAAAGGCCAAAGAATATCAATGAAAAAAAAATTTGAAGGAACATGGTCTAGCCATAAAAGATCTCAAACTGTATTATAAAGTAGTAATCATCAAAATTATCTGGAATTGGCTAAGAGATAAAGTGTTGGATCAGTGGAATAGAGTAGAAATATAAGACACAATAGTCAATGACTACAGTAATCTAGTGTTCAATAAACCCAAGGGCTCAAGCTTTGGGGGCAAGAACTCACTAATTTGACAAAAACTGCTGAGAAAACTGGAAAACCGTCTAGCAGAACCTAGGTATAGGCCAACATCTTACACCATATACCAAGATACGGTCAAAATGGGTACATGATTTAGACATAAAGGGTGATACCATAAGCAAATTAGAAGAGCAAGGAATAGTTTACCTGTCAGATCTATGCAGAAGGAAAGAATTTATGATCAAACAAGAGATAGAGAGCACAAGACATAAAATGGATAATTTTGATTATATTTAATTTAAAAGGTTTTGCACAAACAAAACCAAAGCAAGCAAGATTAGAAAGGAAAGCAGAGAGCTAGAAAACAATTTTTACATCAAGTGTCTCTGATAAAAGCCTCATTTCTCAGTTATATAGAGAACTGAGTCAAATTTATAAGGATACAATTCATTCCTCAATTGACAAATGGTCAAAGGATATGAATATAGGCAGCTTTTAGATGAAGAAATCAAAGCTATCTATAGTCATAAGAAAAAATGCTCTAAATCACTATTAATTAGAGAGATGCAAATTAAATCAACTTTGAGGTACCACTTCACACCTATCAGATTGGCTAATATGACAGAAAAGGAAAATGATAAATGTTGGAGAGGGTGTGGGAACATTGAGACACTAGTGGTAGAGCTGTGAACTGATCCAACCATTCTGGGGAGCAATTTGGAACTATGCCCAAAGGGCAATCAAACTGTGCATACCCTTTGATTCAGCAATATCACTACTAGGTTTGTATCCCAAAGAGACGATAAAAAAGGGAAAAGGGCCTACATGTACAACAATATTTGTAGCAGCTCTTTTTGTGGTGGCAAAGAATTGGAAGTTGAGGGGATGCCCATCAATTGGGGAATGGCTGAACAAGTTGTGGCATATGAATGTAATGGAATGCTATGGTGCTATAAGAAACGATGAGCAGGTAGATTTCAGAAAAACCTGGGAAGACTTACATGAACTGATGCAAAGTGAAGTGAGCAGAACCAGGAGAACATTGTACACAGGAAGAGCAACGCTGTGTGATGATCAACTATGATTGACTTAGCTCTTCTCAGCAATACAATGATCCAAGATAATTCCAAAAGACTCAGAATGGAAAATGCTATCCACATCAGAGAAAGAACTGATGGAGAACTGAATGCAGATCAAAGCATACTATTTTCACTTTATTTTTCATTGTATTTTTCCTTTTGCAAACTGTAAGTTTTTGCAAACTGTTTCTTCTTTCACAACATGACTAATAAGGAAATATGTTTTACATGATTGCACATATATAACCTATATCAAATTGCTTACCATCTTAGGGAGGGAGAAGGGAAGGGAGAAAATTTGGAAGTCATAATTTTATTAAAAAAAATGACTGTTAAAAAATTTTTTTACACGTAATTAAGAGAAAATAAAATATTATTTAAAAAACCTATTAGACCTAGCTAGAAAAGCCAGAGAAACAGGGATGCTTCAATTAGTACTGAAAAGGGCTTGTGCAAGATACATCTGGTCAGATCTCAGGCCAGCTCACAAAGCATTTTGCTCAGTCTTGCTACACAGTAGAATGATTGCTGGACTAGGAAGTCAGAAGACTTGAGTTTCAGAACTGGCTCTGACTAGACATATGACCATGTGCACTGGAGCAGGGAATTCCCTATGCCAATTAAACAAAAACCTCCATCATATGTCCCCTCAGGTAACTGCAAAGACAAGGGTCCCTACAGAAAACTTTTCTAAGTGCTCAACATCTTTATAGAGATGCTTCTTGGGCTAATTGTGAATACTCACACTAAGGAAGGAGCTGGCTGTCATGAGGCTCCTAGAGCTGGTTCTGTTGGTGCCCAGAACAAGGAAGGCCCATAATGATCGTTTAAGTCTGCAAATATGCTGTATTAGTGTTACTTTGTTGTACTGTGATTCTACTGGTGTGCTGGATCCCTTCCCTCCACCAATGCAGAATGTAACCTCTATGAATAACTACAGGCAAAATAAAATTCACTGCTTCACAGCCAACCTTTTGGTGACAAGTCCCTCTGAATTTAGCCAAGCTAGTCATTGACTGCCTCTCCTGGATCATTGCCTTGTCATGGCAGGGGGGCTTGCACAGCTGGAGAATGAAGTCAAATGGGCCTCAGGAAGCATTGCTAACACTGAGGCTAGTGGAGATAATGGAATTCCAGCTGAGCGATTTAAAATCCTAAAAGATGATGCTGTTAACGTAATGCACTCAATATGCTAGCAAATTTGGAAAACTCAACAGTGACCATTGGATTGGAAAAGATCAGTTTACACTGCAATCCTAAAGAAGGACAATGCCAAAGAATGTTCCAAGTACTGAACAATTTCACTCATCTCACATGCCAGCAAGGTTACACTTGAGATTCTGCAAGCTAGGCTTCAGTAAAATGTGAACCGAGAATTACCAGAAGAGCAGGCTGTTTTTGAAGAGGCAGAGGAAGTAGAGACCAAAGTGCCAACATTCGCTGGATTATGGAGAAAGCAAGGGAGTTCCAGAAAAACACCTACTTCTGCTGCACTGACTACATTAAAGCCCCTGATTGTATGGATCACAACAAAATGTGGCAAGTTCTCAAAGAAATGGGAGTACCAGATCGTCTTACCTGCCTTCAGAGGAACCTGTATGCAGGCTAAGAAGCAACAGTTAGAAATGAACATGGAATAACTGATTGGAGTTAAGGTTGCTGAGAGAAATAACAATCTCAGATATGCAGATGATACCACTGATGGCAAAAAGTGAGAAGACTGGCAAAAAGACTGAGAAGCCTCTTGAGGAAGGTGAAAGAGGAGAGAGTAAAAGCTGGCTTAAAGCTTAACACCAAAAAAACTAGTATTTTGACAACTAGTCCCATCACTTCCTGGCAAATAGAGGGAGAAGAAATGGAAGCAGTGTCAGATTTTATATTCTTGGTTTCAAAGATCACTGGCAGACAGTGACTGCAGCCATGAAATTAAAAGATGCTTGTTCCTTGGAAGGAAAGCTATGGCAAATATGAACAGCATACTAAAAAGCACAGATATCACCTTGTCAACAAAGGTCTGTGGAGTCAAAGCTAGGTTTTTCTAGTAACAATGTATTGCTGTGAGGGTGGGACTATACAGAATTGATGCTTTTCAACTGTGGTGCTGAAGAAGACTTTTGAGAGTCCCTTTGGACAGCAAGGAGATCAAATCAATCAATACTTAAAAAAATTAATTCAGGCTATTCACTAGGTCAAATACTGAAGCTGAAGCTTCAATACTTTGGCCACATAATGAGAAGACAAGAATCACTGGAAAAGACCCTGATGTTGGGAAAGATTGAAGGCAAAAGGAAAAGGGAACGGCAGAGGGGTGAGGTGGATAGTGTCCTGGATGCAACGAACATGAGCCTGGACAGACTTTGGGAGATAACGGAGGACAGAAGGGCCTGTCCATGACGTCACGAAGAGTCGGACACAACTGAACAACAATGAGTCCTTGAGTGACAGACACAAAGAATCCATCACTAGGCCAACATTCAAAGCCTTTCTAGCTTGGTGCAGCCTTTGAGAATCCAGAGGGCACTTTCATATGACAGTGAGGTATCAGAGGGAGACTTTAGTGGAGGTTCAATACTATGTAATTTTGGCTAGTAATAAATTATAATACAGTTAGTATTTTACTTCTACTCAGTTAATGCTTTCTTTCTAATGAAGTTTCTTCTCAGTGCTCTGAAAAGTATAAAAGAGGGATTTTATTATATTTTAGGGATTGCTACAAGTGGAACCTGAAAAGCTGAAGGCAAGCCCTCAATACAGTTACATCTTGGAGTTAGGAGACAGAGGGCTACTGAGTACAAAACAAGATGGATCCCAAAACTTAGGACAAGATATCTTAGAGGCCAGGATACCTAGGTCAAGAGAAGGTGGATGAAGTGAAAAGAACTTTTCTAGAAGTAGTGCTTCCTGTGGGAGGAGTTAAAGCCAGCTTACTCATGAGATTCAGATATCCCCTAGGTGTCAAGAGGAAGTAGACAGCTTCAAAATAAAGTTAACTGTAATCTTGAAAAAACTGTAATGTGACACAAGAGTTCCGTTGAAAAAAAGACGGTAGTAGTGTAACAGCAAGTTATATTACAAGCACAAAGAGAGAGAAGGGAGACGAGTCTAGTGGAGTCTAAAAAGGAAAAGCTGGAAAATACCAATGTCAGTGGGAGAGTCAGGATGACCAAGCACCAATATTTTGGTTTGTGTGGCAACAGAACCTTCTTAAGATAGAGAAAGGTGATTTGGCTACCATACCTTTAAGGTCATTCAGCAATCTTTGCTCTAATTCTACCTTCACCAAATAACTTTCTAATATAATGTTAGGCAAGTGCGTCAACACTGGGAAGGGGGTGCCTAGCTCAGATGAACAAATGACAAAGCAGTCTTGTGTCAGTTGAGTTGCCATATGCCCCTTTCCCCAGGTTATGATTTCCCTGGATAAAAAGACTGCTCAGATTCCACTGAAAGACCAGAGGTTGGACATGTGGTGATAACAGCAAAGCAGAACATCCACGAGGCCCAGCCTGACCAGGCAAGGTTTTCCTATCAATTTGTACTCATTTTAATAACATTCCATGCATACACTTTCACAACTACGTGCATGAGACTGAGACAATAACCACTGCTACTACGGACGCCACTCCCTAGTTCAGCGCAGGACAGCCAAAAGACCTTTCATTGTTTTAAATATCAGTATACTCTCTGTGAAAATACTGGTGTGGGCAGAAAATGTATTCTATACTTATGGAGTTCCTTCTCACTCATTCTCAAGTGACTTTCAAATGACTTACTGAGAGTTTCAATCATTACTGCCTAAAATTTTTTAAAGAGGGAATAAGGTTTTTAACATTTGCACCTGTAATCAAAATTAAAATTGGCCATATCTGTAAAGCAGAAGAGATTGTTTGAATCTTACCTTTCCTCTCCTTTCTGACATCTTTCCCATTCTTCTCGATCTCTTAGTTCTTGAGTAAGCTCTCGTTTCTCTGTCAAAATTTTAGCAGCTTCTTCACCACTTGTGGTCCCTGCTCCAGTTTGACTACTGGGCTCTATTTTGAATAAAAATTTAAATGATTCAATTGGATTAGCAGGAAGTACAACCCCAAATTAAGAGACTATATACAAATGGAAGCATTAAAGACTCAAAAATACGTGCAAGAGAGTAGGAATCATGATTCGTTGTACCTGTTCTTGAACCAAAATAAAACAAAACAATCCAAATCCCAGTGTCAGTTTTTAACAACTTGTTCCAAAGTGTAATTCATCTCTAATAAAAATAGCTGCTTTGAGATAACTGTATAGGAGTAAGCTCAAGGTGAAAAGGAAAAAAAAAACTTTAACAGGGAAGAACAATATGCTAGAGCAGAGAAGGATTGGATTTAGAATCAGAGAACCTGGATTTGAATCTTGGCTCTGCTACTTACTACCTGTGTGACAATGGGCTAGCTATTTCTCTTCTTTGACCTTCAGTTTCCTCATCTGCAAAATGAGAGAGTTGGCCTCTAAATCCCTGCCAGCTCTAAATGTAAGAGATGGACAATGGCTAGAGTATAGTCAGCATGGTTTGGAAATGGCCAGAACCCCAACAAACCAACTGGACTATAGGCTGCATTACGAGAGGCCTAATGTCTGGAAGAAGAAAGGTCATGGTCCCAGTCAGACCACATGGGGAATATTACAGTTAGACATTTGAAGAAGAACATTGACAAGCTGGGATGATAACCTAGATAGTGACAGGGCTAAACACCATACCCTAAGAGGATTGGTTGAAGGAACTAAAGAAGGTTTTAGCTTCTTAGCTAGAAAAGAGAAGACTTAGAGGGAACATGATCACTGTCTGTACATATTTCAAGGGCTGTCAGGTAAAACAAGGATGATGCTTACTTTGCCTGATTTCAGAGGAAAGAACTTGGCTCAGTGAGTAGACACTGCAAAGAGGCAGATTTTGGCTCAAACTTCCTAAAAATGAAAAACTGCCCAAACTGCCCCAAAGTGGAACTGGCTGCCCCATCAACAAAGTTGTTCAAGTAGAAGCTACATGATCACTGGCAGGCACGCATGGAGAGGATTTTTACTCAGGTTGGGGCCAAATGGTTTCAGGTCCCTTCCAACTATGAAATTTTGGGATTCTGAACATAAAGTAATAAACACTCCTAAGACAGCGATCCTCTCAAGTCCAGCAGGCTTTATTAATCTTTTTGGTTCCTAGGTCAAAATTTTCTTCTCAGAGCAACAGAACTAATCAAACTCCAGGGAATTCTACACAGTAGGTACCAATCACACTCCAGCTTGTTACTGTTAAGTCATGACTGCCTCAAGATCCCAGAAGATGGCCAAAGTCAGCCACAGCACAAATTAATCAGCCACCTCCATACTGTGTGCTGCAGCTCCCTGAGGTTATTTCCCAGAATTGGTAACATTTGTTTTTCCAAGAAATACCAGGCCCAAAGTTAAAAACAACAGAAGGGTTACACAGCAGTACTGCATCCACTGACTTAGGTGATAAATCATAAAACTTTGTACTCTGTTCTACGTCTGATACTTTCCAAAAAGTCCAAAATAATCAAACAGGTACTTCTACTGACTGCTCCTAATTCTGTCTTCTGGAGACAGACAGAGCAAGCCTAATTTGCATTCTACTTGACAGACCTTCAAACGTGCAAAGAAAATGGTAACACTGGATCCACCATACCCATGGTGTCCTACAGAGCAAGTAATAAATGCCTTCTAATGATGATGATGTTGATGATGATAGAAGCCTAGAATAGGAGTCAGGAGACCTGTGTTCAAATTCCAGGGGAAACATTTACAAGCTGTGTGACCATGGGCAATTCACTTAACTTCTCAAAAGCCTCAGTTTCCTTATCAGCAAAAATGGGAGTAATTAAAGCCTGTATTACTTAGTTTACGGGGCTATTGTTAGGAGAGTGTTTTGCAAACTTTCAAGTACTATAAAAATGAGTTATTTTTCCTGAGTAAATAGGACCCAAAGAGAAACAGGTTGGTATTACTGAGTTTGGCTTAATATTCCAAAGCCTCCCAAAGCTTATGAAGTGATAATATTTAGCTAAGCTAGATGCTTGAAATGACCAGCTTCAGTTGTGGAGTACAGATGATGAGCCATACCCTCAATTTCTCAGTAAAGAGGTGGAGGTCTATAGGAACAGAATTGTGTATATGCTGACAGACAGTATCATTTTCTTGGCCAATTTTAACCTGTTTTCTTTGTTATAAGGGCAGGGTTTAATTAAGGAGTTAAGGAGTATATAAAGAAATCACTGGCATAAGTTAGTTTATCTATGTATTTAGAGTATTAACATTTTTTCTTCCCTTTCTTCCCTTAGAAGATACATATTTTCTTCAATTAAGTTCAACCAAGATCCTTTTTTTCTTATGACATGTCAGGATTCAGGAATCTACTAACATTATGAGTCATCAGAAAAATGTAAAATGGAAGAAATTCTGATTTAACTGAAAGGAAGAAAATCAAAATCGGCTGTCAGGGTCAATTAAATATAAAATATGACCAAAATGGCAATTTTCTGATGTAGGGCAAAAAAGCAGAAAATGCAAACAGTCAAATTTAACAGAGTTTTAAAGTTGCTGGAAGGCCAATTTCAACAAAAGTTCACATCTTCATCCAAACAAAAAAAGCATTCTACCCGAAAATTGCTCTGTAGGTCTTATAGTTCATTCATTTCAAAATTAAATAGCACACTGCATCTTTAATCACATATTTTTCTCTTTCTGCAGAGCTTTTTTTCTTTTTGCCACAAAGAAAGAGGCAGTGGTTCATGTGGGCAAATGCTTCTATTGCAGCTGCTACTGCCCACAGAGAATTCTGAGTGTTGGCAACTGGCAGCCAGGAGCATAATCATCCCTTTAGTTGAGACTCTGAAGGTTTAATCCTAGAATTTACAGTTGAAATCACCTAAGCAAGGACCATCATTTCACAGATAAGGAAACTGAGGCCCAGAGAGAAGTGACTTGCTTAAGGTCAAAATCGCCTAATTATCTAGGCAGTGTCAAGGCTAGAACCCAGGTGTCCTGACTGCTAAGTGAAGCTCTTTACATTACACTCTGCTACTTCCCTAATAGTACCTACAACCCTAAAGACCTAAGTATCTAAGACCTTGTCACATACACCATATAAAATATTACTAAATGGCTAATTGCCACCAGAAGGATACAGTTCTATTTTGTTACAGGGTTTCCTTTGGGGCTATACCTATAAAAAGCAGGTTACCATTGGGAGGTGAGAAAAAGAAAAAGCACAGTAGAAGGTAATCTCTTAGACCCTAAGCATGAGGGCAAGAAAGAAGGTCTATACTTTAATATAATGAAGCAAAGAATCTGTTTTAGGGGGGAAAAGGTTTTCTAATGGTCAGGTTTAACAGGGGAGTTCTATGCATCATGTCTTGGAGAGGCAGTCAAAGGTATGCTCTCACACTTGCCACCCCAATGAAGAAAGATCACGTCCCCTTTCATGAAAAAAGTTAAAAGAGAATCTGGAAGCCACTAGAATTCAATACCTTAAGTTCTCAGATGACAAATCAAAGGGAAAGAAAGATCAGATGTTTGGTCAGGGGCCTGATGCAGAAAAACTTCACCTAGGGTAGAGTTCTTAACCTGGAGTTTGTGAACTTTTTATTATATTGATAACCATATTTCAACATAATTGCTTTCTTTTCATTTAGCCTCTCAGCCTCAGCTTCTTCATCTCTAGAATGGGAATAATTACATCTACCTCAAAGGGTCATTAAGAGGATAAAATGAGATAACTATGTAAAATGCTTTTCAAACCTTAAAGAGTTATATAAAATGTTGTTCTTTGTAATTTGATGTATTTTATTTTACGCACTTAAAAAAATGATTCTGAGAAGGGGTCCATAGGCTTCACCAGCCTGACCAGGGGGTCCAGGACAAAAGAAAAGGTTAAGAATCTCTGCCCTAGAGGATGACTGGGGCCCAAGAAAAATTCCCTTCTCTGGGCAGGGGTGAGGGAAGTGTGGCTCCCCTGCCAAAGAAGACAGAGGTTGCTTGGGGATGCTAACTGGAAGGAGGGCAGGAGTGAGAGACAAGAAAAGAAACATTTCCCAAACCCCTTCTTCTCTACCTCCACACCTTCTCAGTTCTACCGTCATCAGGACAGGACAAAGAAGCTTGAGAAAGCAGAGATACATCGATGAAAATATCAATAAGATAAGTGAATAATGGAATAAGATAAAACAATAACAAAATTTCTGTGGAAGAATGGTCAAATATATCAAGAGAAATTATGAAGACAAAAAAGGAAGGTGGCTTGTGTACTACTTCATCTCAAATTATACTCTAAAGAAGCAATTATTAAAACTATGTAAAATACAGGTCAACAAAACTATCTAAACAACCAAAATGATCTAAAATATAGAACAGATCAAATTAACTCTAACCTATATAACCAATGGCACACACACAGATTAGTATTTGACACATCACTGTTTCTGCTCCAAAATCCTCAGTGGCTCTCCAATGCTTGCAGGATAAAAAAAAAAAATAGAGAATTCCTCAGCCCACCATGTCAAGCTGCCCCCAATCTGGCTCTAACCTACTTTTCCAGACTTATTTTTCATTAATTCCCTTCCAACAATCTACAAGGCACACTGACTGGTTGTTCCCCAAACTCAACATTCTCTTCTGACTATCTCCATGCCTACCCTGACCTCCTCCCTCTCCCCTTAACCTCTTAGCTTCTGTCAAGGTTCATGTCTGGTACTACCTCCTAAGGGAAACCTTCCTGATGCCCCTAGGCATGAGAGCATGCTCTCTCACCTCAAATAGCTTTGTATTTACTTAGGTATAAAGGTATTATATCTTTGGTATCATAACTGTGTAGAGGCAAAAAAAATGCCCAGATATTACATAAACAGAAGAAATTCTAGGAGAACAAATAGAGGAGTTTGATTACATAAAAAGAAAGTTTTTGCACATCAAAAAGTAATGCATCTAGAAAATCTTTCTGAGCAATATTTTTAATTGAAGTTTGACATCATCTTTAAGAAGTGGTCAAAGGACATGAACAAGGAGATCTCTAAAGAACAAAACACCAATTATCAACAGACACATGAAAAAGTTCTGACTCTTCAAAATAACCAGAAAAAAAGCAAGTTGAATAATTGTAAGCTATCAACTTCCACCCACCAAGTTGGCAAGGTTAGTTGAAAACAGTAAGATTTAACGTTGGCGTGGCTGTGGGAAAATAGCCCTACTCCAACCCCGCTGGTGAAGCTGCAAAGTGGTGCAATCTTTTTAGAAAGCAAAAAGCAATTACATAGTAAGAAACCTACTACTCACACCCTTTGAACCAGTGATCCGCTATAACTTTGTAAAAGGGAATAGACATATTTTTAAGCAAACTGTACACAACAGAAGTTCACAGTTTCATACTTAACCATTTACTATAATTTAAATTGTTACCACTAATAGAAAACGGTCACGCACTGGTACCCACATATTATGAGGAGATCTCTATGGGGAGGCCTTGGGAACATTAGGTGCACTCCTGTGAAATATTTACAAGAGTATGTGGACACAAGTCACACAGGACAAGCATGCACATTTGAGCTGCAATCTGCACTGTAGAAGAGAGTACCCACATGGATGAGATGGTGGATCCATTCAAACACTGTAATACCTGACATTTATATAGTATGCTTTAAGGAGTACAAAATACTTTACATCTAGTATTATTTTCCATTTATTCCTGGGTTTTTGTTGATAGTATCCATCCATCTATTTTTTGGGGGGTGAGCCAATCAGGGTTAAGTGACTTGCCCAGGGTCACACAGCTAGTTAAGTGTCAAGTGCCTGAGGTCTAATTTGAACTCAGGTCCTCCTGACCCCAGGGCCAGTGTTCTATCCAGTACACCACCAAGATGCCCCTGTATCTATCCATTTTTGTAACGAGAGAAGAGAACTAGAGATTGGACCTCGAGGGGGCTCCACATTAAGGGGTAGACCCGAAATTTTTCCACAAAGGGCTTGGAGTTTAGGTGTGGTAGAATTTCCTACCTTGATTAAAGCAGCATATTACAGTGAGTGGATTGACTGGATTTGGAATCAGGAGACATGAGTTTAAATTCTGCCTAAGGAACTTATGATTGATCATGGGCTGGTCCCTTAAACTCTCAAAGCCTGTTTCCTCATCTGTAAAAAGGGGATAACACCCGCAATATCTAATTCACAGGATTACCGTGAATTAAACACTTTGTAAAACTCAAGGTGGCCAAGCACTGTAGAACGCACCTGTAGTCCCTGCTCCCAGGGACGCTGAGACTGGCAGATCTCTGAGCCAATCACATTGTCTACACTAAATCCGGTTATCACTATGGGGACCCCATGGGGGCAAGGGAAGGGCAAACTGACCCAGGTTGGAAATGCAGCAGGTCAAAACTCTCATGCTTATCACTGCGAGAAACAGGCCTATGAGTAGCTCTTGAACTTCCAGCCTGGTCAAAACAGGCTCAAAACAAACAAACCCAAAGCATTATACAAATGCTGTTAGTGTTGTTGTTATTATTAATAATAATAAATCACAGCCAAGTCCATTTACAATACTAATGATAAACCATAATCTATGAGAGCTATAAGGGCAAATTCTTTTTAAAACTCAAGCTGGCATAAAGAAAATGCCATGCTAGGTACCATTCTTCTACTGAGTCCCTGGAACTCAGTTAACTATGTCCAAAACAAGCTTTTTAACTGATTCCTTACACAAGAAACTTTTAATATGATCATATACCTTCTTTGGTCTTTCCAGCAGATGCTACTTTTTCTTTCTCTGAAGCTGGTGATGTTTGGCCTTCATGTTTTCTCTTTTCTTCACATATATCCTTTAGTTTGCTATCTGTTGCAGGTATTCCACCCTTTTTGGTAATATTTGAAACAGTTGGTGTGATCAAGGGACGTTGCACAAGTTTAAGAGCTGGTTTTAACACACAAGTGGGAGATGATGGTTGCTGTTTTGACGAAATAGGTGAAGGTGGGCGACTTCTCTGAGATGGTCTGCTGAGGAAAAAAAATAGTATGGTTTTTAAAAAAGAAATGTATGCTAATGTACGTGAAAGCACTTCAAAAAGCATAAAGCACTATGCAAATATGAGGTGGCATTATCATTACTATATTATTCTGAATATAGGCCACAAATTTTTCCCAAACGTGGCTTGAGTATAACCCGAACATTATATATAATTGGTATTATTTTTTAGTGCATACGTCTATATATTTCCTTTCAAAAAGATATTTTAGGAAGGGCAACCTATATTCAGATTAAGAGAGTAAAATCTGTGAGTTTTCATAGCCTAATTAAAAAACAAACAAAAAATTTGACTCAATGGCTTTTAAGGTCCCTTCTAATTCTTGAGATCCTGAAATATCACCTTTTAAAATGGATTGAATTTAAGCTACTGTATATTCTGTTTTACACAAATTCTAAAACAGGGAGATTAACGTATTCGGGCAAAATATGTGGCATGGAACAATTTCATATTAGCTACTTACTTCGATGCAGAGGGAGATGGAGGATGCTTAACATCAGCAGGGGAAGGTGATCTCTTATGGCCTGATACAGATGGTGATGGAGCTCGTCTTGCAGCATGAGTAGATGCATACTTATCTACCTCTGCCTTCTGAGTGGATAAACAAAATAAGGAATCCCTAAAATTTATGGCTATGCTTTGATATTAAAAATAATTCTACCTAAGAACAGCTTAAATTGCTAGAGGAATATTTAGCGCCTGTGGCTGGGCCACACCAATATAATAAAAAAATGACAATACTACCAAAGTCAATTTACATTTTTGATGCTGTACTAATCAAATTACAAAGGGGATACTTCAAACACCTGATAAAATTATAACAAAATTAATTTGGAAAAACAAAAGATCTAGAATATAAAAGAGAAATGATGAAAAGAGGCTAAGGACAAAGACAGAATAGTACTTCCAGACCTCAAACTACATTATAAAGCAGCAGTCATCAAAGCCATCTGGTATTGGTTAAGAAAGAGAGGTAGACTGATGGGACAGATTAGACAAGAGAGAATCAGAAACAATGGAACTCAATAACCCAGTACTCGATAAACCAGAATACATACAACACTTAGGAGAGAACTCCCTATTTGATAAAAACTGCTGGGAAAACTGGAAAACAGTTTGGCAGAACTTCAACTTAGACCAATACCTTACACTACTTTCCATAATACGTTCTACATGGATATACCACCTTAATATTAAAGATCATAATATTAAAAAATCAGAAGAGAAACTGATCATATACCTCTCACAGGTATAGGCAAGTGATCTATTCTTAACCAAACAAGGGAAAAAGACAATTGCAAAAGATAAAAATGGGAACTGATCCCATGAAACTGCAAAGCTTCTGCAAGACAATATTAATGCACCTAGGATAAGAAGAGAAGTGGTCAAATAAGAAAATAATCTTTGTCTCAGACTTCTCTGATGAGGATTGGTCTCCAAAATCCATAAAAAATTAACAAATATACATAAGACGAACAGCCATACTCCAATAGATAAAGTAGTCAAAGGATATCAACAAACATTTCTCAAAAGAAGAATTGCAAAGCATTCACAACCACCTGAAAAAAGGCTCCAAATCAATTGTAATAAGATAAATACATTATCAAAACAGCCCTGAGGTTTTACCTCATATCTTGCAAATTGGCAAAGATGACAAAAATGGCAATATCCAATGTTGGAGAGATTGTGAAATGATAAGCACATTAATGCATTGTTGGTGGAGCAGTGAATTGGTACAGCCATTCTGGAAAGCAATTTGGTTGCAATCATGTGAACAACATGACTAAAATGTCCACACCCAGATACTCCATTACTGAGTTCATAACCCAAGGAAGCCAATGATAGGAGGCAAGTCCCCATATACACCAAAATATTTGTAGCAGGACTTTTTGTGGCAGCAAAGAATTGACAACAAAATAGATAAATCCTCCCCCCATCAATGAGGGAATGGACAAACAAATGAAATAAAGTATTAGTGCACTGTAAGAAATGATAAATGTAATATATACAGAGAAGCATGGCAAGATCTATATGAACTGATATAGAGTGAAGTAAGAGCAAGAAACAATACACATAACGACTACAACAACGTAAACAGAAAGAACCATACACATGCACACACACCCTGCCCCCCCAAGGGAATGTAGCAAAATTATGAAAATCAAGCATGACATCAATGAAGAGATATGATGAGAGGACACCCCCAACCCACCCCTTTGTGGGTTTTTGGATTTCTTTTTCTTTTTTTTTTTTTTAGGCAATTGGGGTTAAGTGACTTGCCCAGGGTCATACAGTTAGTAAGTGTCAAGTGTTTGGTCAGAGGCTAGATTTGAACTCAGGTCCTCCTGACTGTCAGGGCCAGTGCTCTATCTACTGCGCCACCTAGCTGCCCCCTTTTTGGACTTCTTAATGCATTGATTAGGCATGACGATTTTTTTTCCCACCTCTTTTTCTTTTTACTGTTTTTAAAAAATACTATTTGTAATATGTGGTAGCTTTCTAGAAAAGGGAGGAACACTGGGGATAATCATGATAAAAAACACCAATAAAAACTCATTCTATCTGCATGAAAAGACTATACTTAGAGTTTCTTAAATGCCAAACCATCACGATTCTTCACCAATATATGAGCATCTAGTACCAAGGCATGATAATGCTGAAAGAATTTTTTATCAGTTTTAAAGGACTCTTTTACTTCCAACAGGCACTTATCTTTCTTGCACTGCTTAGTACCTTTAATCAGTCTATGTGGTTTTACATTCTCCTTATTTGCTGGCAATATACTGGCAAAAATGTACCTCATCTTTTAAAAGTTGTATTTATAACTATGACTAGCTTGAAGAGTGGCTCAGTGCAGTAATGGTCCAATCCAATAATTCAGTAATAATTTATGAAGTTGGATAAAAAATTTTCACTTAAAATCAAGCCCCCTGGGGCAGGCAGGTGGTGCAATGGATAGAGCACTGGCGCTGGAGTCAGGAGGACCTGAGTTCAAATCTGGCCTCAGACACATAATATTTCCTAGGCTGTGTGACTGTGGGCAAGTCACTTAACCCCAATTGCCTCACCAAAAATAAATAAATAAATGAAGTCAAGCCTCCGATACTATTTTTTTTCAAGTTTTCAAGTCATCCTAAAAGAATAAAGCTAAAACAATAAACAAAAATAATATCCTCAAAATACCAAAATGAATTTTTAAATATGCTTAAACATCTGCATTTATTCATCAGGTATCTGGAACCAATAATTTTCCTTCAAATCCTTTTCCTTTCCAGATACAATACAAATAACCTGTTGTCCTAAACCTTGATAATATAACATATAAGCCCTGAATCTTGGTAAAGCCAAAAAATGTTGCAAATGGGTTTAGATAAGTCTTCACAAACTTCAGCTATTTGTATAACTGACGCCAAAGGCCTTAAAAATGTGGCCACAGGTAAGCACTGCTTGGCCACCAATAGGCCCAATTTGGCCATTAGCCAGTGCAGCAAACTCCAAGAGAGATTCACATACCAGGCTCTCTGTCACTAAAGTGAAAAGCCAGAAGAGTTGAGCTGGAAAATGAGATGATTAGAGTGGGATGTCCAGAAAAGGATCACAGTACATTGGAAAGGTCACAGGGAAAAGTGTGTGTGTGTGTGTATGTGTGTGTGTGTGTGTGTGTGTGTGTGTGTGTGTGTCTCACAGGCAGAGAGGCATGGAAGAAAAAGTCATATACACAAGCCCTAAAAGGCAATAGTAGGCATCCAGCTTTTAAATAAAAGGACTATCACCATTGATAACTTAATTGAGTATGTAAAACACACTTTCGCGTTTCCATGAAGGTAGCCTCTCTGAAAATGAGTATTCTGCCAACTCTCAACTCTTCATGGGTGAGTCAGTATACAATTTAGAGATTTTCCCAACTCTTTAGTTTCTGTCATCATCATTATGATTTCTTTTGATCACTTCACTACTCACTTATTGCCTACTCTCTTCTCCACAATTAGTAGGGGAAATTGGTTAAAGTACAAAATGGCCAGCATTTGAATTTTTTGGCAACTCTTTTTAAAAATGGTTGAGGAATAGGGAAAAGTTTAAACCAATGGCTAAAACTATTTGAATTAGCCATATTCTGTTGCAAAATACCACTGATAACTAAGAATTTACTTTTTGGAAATCATATTATACTTTAATATATATAACGAAACCATCCCAATCAAAATTTATGCAAATATATATTTCAGGAGACCCAAAAAAAAAAACCCATCTTCAATATAAGGAAATTTGTAACAAACCTGTATAGAGCCCATAGCACTTGTTGAAACGGCTACCATGGGAGACTTCGGTCTGTCAATGCTGCGGCTTCGCATGGGCATTCTAGGGGCCTGCACTGCAGAGCTGATAGTACTGGAGGCAGCTGAACGAGGACAGAGGTGAAATTCTACAAAGTTAGGAATTTGACAGGACAAAACAGAGAGCCAAGTGAACAGTTTAAGAACAGGAAAAGAAAAAAGAGAAAAAGATTGTGTCTATTAGAAATCAAAGAGATCGCGCAACAGCATGGGAAGCATATACTGAAAATGTGTCATAAACATGAGACACCACCACCACACAATTAGTATTTCAAAAGCAACACTAAGAATAATGACACCATGAAAGCAAGCCTATTTACTGTAGATAAAAATAAGATGCTTTTCCAAAGTCTATATACAATACTTATTTCTCACTCAATCACACCATACTTCAGAATCAGCTTGTCAATAGAAAAATTACAAATTGTAAGTAACTAAAACATCTGTTTCAGGAAAATTAATCACACCATAGAAATAATTCCACGTTTGGTTTATATCCTAAGCTAAACATTCCAATACTTTACTGTTCTTCCATACTTCAAGGTTCTGTGATCATAGTGATGGCTGCAGTATACAAGCCCTCCACACTTTAGTAATTGATTTAATGAGGTGTTTTGCTCAAAAGTATTCATCATCTGGTGGCCTCTCTACACTTAGTGAACCTGATCCTCAAGTGACAGACGCATACTCTACCTTCAGATTGGTACCTGAAGCCTTTCAAGCCGGGAAGGACCTGTGAAAACCCAGCACTGCATTCACTGGCAGAGCCTCTGAGAACACAAAGTCACTGCCACATCATGTTAAAAAAAACAAACTGATAGACAAGTTTGATTCATTAAATATTCCAAATAGTGTCAAATTACTTCTCCTAGCATACAAATAGTACTGACATTTTAAATTCTCCTTATAAAGACATATTTTAACTGCTTTGAGTTAGCTGATAAGACAACTAGGAGATATTTTCCTAAGAAAAGTAAACTGTATGTCCTCCTATATCTGAATATTGACTAGAACCTCCTTAATAAATAATGAACTGTCACTTTAAAAAAAAAAGCATTACTATGCTTCTCATCCATTACCAAAAATAATTCAACATCAATCCAAGGGAACAAAAGATTAAATGTCAAGTTTAAAATGTCACACGTGGCAAATGAAATAGTGTCCATCTCTAATGAAAACCTAACAAAACCACCAAGACTGCCTCTGCCCTCCAATCGCATCTCTCTGACCGTTACATAAATGATGCACAAGCTTGGTCATCCTCACACTCAAAAACTTTCACTGAATACTGTGTATCTTCTGACTGAAGTTACATCTTTGCCTGGCAGAATCTGGTGCCATCCTATCTACCCTTCAAGCCTCGCAGTACTCCTCACTACACATTCAATGCTCTAGCCAAACTGAACAATTCTCTGTACTCCAGAACATACCCTGGATTTTTTCCCTCATGTTTTTCTTGCCTACTGAAAGCCAATCTCCAGTAGATGGAAGGGGCTATTTTGTTTTTGCCCGTCTCCTCAGGGATGCAAACCCTAGGCATGGCACCTTGCACAGAGTAGCCAATTAAAAAATGTTTGGCATGTCTTGACAAAAAGGAAACTTCATTTTTGAACATCAAACTTCGGTGGAGAAAGCATTTTACTTGAATCTCTACAAAATTCTACAGAAGTAAAATTACAGTCTTTCAGACCAACACTTCATGCTACAAGAAAGCCAAAGGAAGCCTGTTGGTATTCCTAAGTACAGTGACTAGCTTTCAACCAGTTGTAGAAGCTCAGGTAAATTGTGCAATTGTCTTGGGAATGATGCTAAGTTAAAGCAGAGTCAGAAATATCTAACATTTCAGAGCAAAACAAGATGGTGATTAGATGCAAAAAAAAAAAAGTGACCTAAAAGTCAGGGACACACAATCGGCTCAAAACAAGCTGAAGCATCAGAACAAATGGGCCAAAGCAAGGCTGAATGAACCCCAAGCACACCAACATTAGCACTAGAATTCTGTGTCCTAACTGGCATCAAAGCAGCAAAAAGCAAAGAGAAAAAGGGCTAGGAGAGAGAAAATGAAAGGGAAGTGTGGTTGTAAAAAAGGAAAGAGAAGAGAATCTAGGAGAGGTAAGAGTGAATCAGAACAAAAGAACATTTTTCACCAGGTACCTTGAGTGGGTTTTATGCTATACACAGCTGTTTCTGGAACTCTAGAGGACACATATCCTAGAACTGAGATACTCCCAGCAGAATTTCAAGTAGTTCACTTTTCCTAGTCTTCCTCCCTAATTAAAATGGTAAAGGGCAGTTCACTGTGGTTTTTTTTTTTAAGGAAAAATGAAAACTCCCTCCATTAGACTGTGAGCTCCTCAAGAGCAAGGACTGTCTTTCGCCTTCTTGTAACTCCAGTGCTTAGCACAGTGCCTGGGCACCTAGTAGGTGCTTCAAATCACTGCTTCCTGACTGAAGTAATGCATTACATTTCCTCTACAGCTGGCGCTATGGTACTTTCTAAATTCCTCTAGATTTATTCACACATAGGCCAACAGACTAGTTTGCTAGTTTAGGGGATCAGGGGCCTCATCTATCTACTGTTATAATGCTACAGTGGGAGCCATAAAATAAATCTGTAACTGAATGTTGTATGTAAAATACACAGTGCTATGATATAGCGATTGATTCAAATAGCGATGTGGCTAAGTTGGATATTAAATCTCACTTTGTAAGTGCAAACGCTAAAGCTTGCAGGCTTATTCCAAATGCCTGTTACCTGAGGGATCTTTTCCAGCAGCAGATAATACAGCAGCACTTTTGCTTTTAGCTAAAGAGGCTTGTGTAGGGGTGAGAAGGCGATTGATTATACTAGTCTCCAGAGCACTGATCTGAAAGCGCCGAGCTGAATAATGAGAACAAATCAAAAAGGATTCAACCAGAATTCTCACACAAATAAAGGCAAAGCAAGAAAGAGCAATATGAATGGCTGCACATGATAAATTTCTTAGCATAAAAACAGAAGTAGTAATGAGAGCAACATATTATATCACAATAGATTAAACACTGCAATCTGATAGGGTTGCATTGGTTATCCTGGTCTTTAAACACATGCAATGTTAATGAAGAGGTTAACTGAAGAAAAAAAAAAAAAAGGAGGAAAAAGTCATAGTATACCACCAGCACACTAAATGAAAGCATTTGGGTAATGGGGATGCATGAGCAGGCCTTGTATGGTATATAGTCTTTTTTAGAAGAACTCATGTGGACTTCATGACTACATACAACTTAAGAAACTTTGAAAATACTTTCAAATCAATTGCTATTTTATGTTATTTTGCATACAAGTTCTCAAACCACTGACTCTCAAATACTATTAAATTAATCACAGAAAAACCAAGGGACTATCGATAATTTCGTAAATATTTAAGTGGCTGGAACAATCCTCTTCCAATCTGACTGGTACACAGTGTGGTGGATGACTTCACATTCCACCTGACACTGTCTGTATGGCCATGGGCAAGTCACTTAACCTTCTCGGGCCTCAATTTCCATCTGTAAAATAAGAACACTAACCTACAGCACTGATTTCACAGGGTTGTCATGAGGTTCAAAGAAGCTAATGTGCATAAAAAGCTTTGCAAACTTTCAAATGCTATATGAATGTTGTCAGATCACAGCAGCTGGGGCCTACAAGTTGGGTGGTTTAGGATAGGTCACTAGAATCTTTAGGATGGACCTCAGTTTCCCCATTTACAACATGAAGGGGCTGAACTAGATGATCTAGAAGGTCCTTTCCAGCTGTATGTTCTAAATGTTTTTCCACAATGATATAGACTGTAATAGGATTTTACCTATAGAAATAAGAAGTGACTATTATATAAGGTTTGGTTTGGCAAAAAAAACAAAACAAAACATCCAAAGCTGTTTGAAAGGGAAATGTTAGCTAGGAAAAGAGCCTTGAAAACTAAGAAACTTTTAATTTTGATATAGTAATTCTTAAAAGGTAATAGCTTATTACAAAATACTATGTCTCACCTTTATAAATATGAAAACATAATCTTATTTTCCTCACTCTGTACACACAGGTCATAAAGACAACAAGAAGCTTGTCTCAAAATGTAAAAACTAGCCACTAAGATTTAATTTCCATAATTCACTAAAACTAAAAATGAAAACGTCTGAAGTACACCTAGTCCTCCAACAAAACTCTATCTCTATCCCCCATGAACTATCTCTTCAGCTTAATTTTATATAGGCACACTCTACCACAATGTCACCTTTAATGGTGTCATTTCATGATAGTGTCATTAATATATTATAATGAACATCACTTCCTTCCCCTATCAATAGCATGCAAAACCTTACTAGGAGGTTATCTGGCTGATTACTCAAGACCCAAAGCAGATGGCACTTAAGCCCCAACAATGTTAACTCCTCATAACATTATTTCATCTCATAGTGTGGTTTTTTCTGGAACCAGTTAACAACAGTGGGTGGAATGTGCTTGTAGTCACCCTGCTGAGCTGCCTGTAAGCAATACTTGGCAAATTTTACTTAAGGTTTTCTGTTTTACTGGCTTCATTTATGGCATTCATGTTCACCTTTTTAGTTAGAAGAGAAATCCTTTGGTTTCTAACTGTGAGGATAACTTCTGAAGCAATTAAGATGACCTTTTAGGATCTTCCACTTGGTCTAGGTCTGGAGATCAGAGGCATCAAACATACCACCCTACAACACTCCCAAGTGCCACTGAACCAGATTAAAATGCCATTGGGAAAATAATTAACAAACTAAATAATAATACAATAAAACACAGATAACATGACACTGTAAAACTAAGTCAATCTGTGGCCTGCAGGGATCCTTATGTCTCTACTGGAGTCTGACCCTACTGGTGCAGAAAAAGTAGTCTCACTACCAGCTCTAGTCAAACATAAGCTTCTTTTCTCCTGCTCGCTCCTCTTAGAGACCAAATGCAAAGGAACATCATTTGAAACAAGCTATTTAAATAATGGAATTTGGAGTTGATCATTCAATTCTTTACCATACTGGTAATACGCATTTACTACTTTCCATATCTTACTTACAGACTAATTCTAAGAAAATGTAAGCTAATTTACCTCTCAAAGCACTTTATAAAATGTAAGCATGCATAAATATAGCAATAAATTATTTATTTTTACTTATAGATATTAGTATTAATAAAAGAAATGAAACACCTAAACAAATGGGAAAATCAGTAGGATTAGAGGGAGTAGTAATAGAGTGTTTGATGATATCAAAGTCCTCTGAATTGAGGAATAAGCACACTGTAATTCTGTACATAGTCTCTGAAGTCTACTGCTATTGTGTCTCAACATTTCCATCCATCATCTAAAATGTTTACCACCCCCCCTCCATTAGTGTCATATGTGCTGCAAATCTCACAATTTGAATAATCCCAACTGTTTTCTTTGTACTTTCCTAGTTTTGCAAGGAAAACAAAACAAGGGAAAATGAGCCATGTCTTGGCCCTTGCTGGGGAGAGGCTGCTCAGAATGCTCAGGGCCTTTCTTTGTTAGGCCAGCTGCTTAAAGTACAAGTCCTCTTTTTAGCAGCTACAAAGTGAAAGTGCACACTGGCACATTCGTGAAAACAGTACCGACTCATTTGGAAGTTCCTTTGTCAACTGAAAAATGATCATTAATTAAGTCATCTGCTCAATTTATGAATTTTTTAAAAACATACTGTGAAAATAAAGAGATGAAATATTTTTAGAGTAAATTGTTATGTGTCTTGAAGTATTTATTTCCACTACAAGTAAAGGAAAAACAGAAGGTTCTAATCATTCATCATTTAAAAGAGAAATATTTACAATACTATGCATCTCATCGCATAATTTACTTCTGTCTGTAATGTTGATCTCTGTAGACTAAACATGCTTCAAGTGTCAGAAGGGATTACTTAAAAGAAGACCTGGCAGATGTTTATTTTGCCTTTTAAATGCCAGGTCTATCAGTTAATATCTGGCGACCTTGAGGTATAACAGGTAGTGGTAGCCTTGGAGTCAAAAGCTCCAGGTTCAAATCTGGCCTCAAATATTTTACTAGCTGTGTGATTACTGGCAAATCACCTAACCTTGCAGAAGCCTCATTTTCCTCATCTATAAGAGGATAACAAAACTTGCACTACCTTCCTTACAGGTTTGTTGAAAGGAAAATATTTGCCAAAGCTTAAAGCGCTATATCAATATGACTTATTATAGAAAAGAAGTCATTCCAATTTTACTACATGACTACCAACAATAATAATGATAATAATACTAACCTTCTTGCACCAAGAAAAAACTAAGGAAGCTTTGAGAGAATTGAAACCTTTTGGGTTTTACTTTATTAGGAAAGAAAATGTTTACCTTTAAAGCCTTATTTTGACTATAAGCTTGATTATGAAAAGATCTCAAGATCAGGGAAAAAATACTAAGGACTTGGAAATATCAATAACCTAAGTAACTACGAAATTTTAAAAGACCTGTCATCTTGCTACCTAAAAAAAGAACCACAGGAAATAGAAACATATTGAAATGCTAAGATTTTACGCGAAGATCAAATGATTTAACATGATACGAGGAGCTGAACTACAAGTGGCCACACTCTTTTTCTGTAATGGAATCTGACTGTAACACATATACAGCACCAAGAAGCAACCGAAAAGAATGCTCCATTCCTCAGCTTCTCCCCAATGGCCTCCATTTCCTCAAATGCAGAAATTACCAAACAGTCACTTTGAGGAAAACGGACACCACTCAGAGAGTGAGTGAGACTGTGGTAGTCTCTCACTGCTTTTCATCTGTATAAATTAAATGCTTTTGCTACTTTCATTTTTTCTGCTGACTGAATTTTCCTACTGTGCAATATGACCAAAACGTAATTCACTCAATAAGTGATTACTGTGATGGGAGCCACAACTAACCTGTGCCCTCAGTCTCCCCTAAACATTAATTATGTCAAACAATCAGAAGTTGTGGACATTTCTATATATATGGCATCAGAGATTTAGAGCTGGAAAGGACCTTAGATGACATCAGGTCCAACTCCTCCATTTTATAGATGAAGATAATTGAGGCACAGAGAAGTGAAGTGACTTGCCCAGGGTGACATAGCTAATAAGTGTCTGAGACAGAATTTAAACTTAACCACGTCCAGCATTCATCTACTACACCATCTAGCCAGCCATTAGTCACAATGAGTAGCTGGGAGTAGCTAATATATCAACATAGTCCCTGGAAAAGAATTTTCATTGCTAACTTAGAATATAATGATTAATAACATTATTTAACACATAAATAGAAGGAAGATAGAAACGTTTAGCCTCAAAACACTCTATAATTTAAGTCTTGGTTTCTTTTAGTCACAATAAATAACACTTTGAATAGCAAATCGTGCAATTCAAGCCCAGTAAATCCATTTGGCAGGATTAATAAAAGAATCATAAACCAAGATTACACATCAGTGAAAATGACATTGAAGGGATGATGAACAGCTCCTCTACTTCAAAGTACAATGGAGTGATCATTCCAAATAAATTAAAATCTTGAAGAATATGAAAATTAATTTATACAATCAAAATAAACATGTTGAAAGAGTTAATCTCCCTGCACAGAAACCCATGAAATAACTACACTTACTCTTGTCAGAATTTGGAACAGTGGCTGAAGATGATGACAAACGTTTACTGATGACAGAATCTGTTTGTTTGAGATTCACTGCAGATGAAGCATATCTGTTGCCTGAAGGAAAAAAACAGTATTTACTATAATCATAGCTCAAATATTTAAGCATCATTCCCTGAATCACAAGTATTCACTGAAGCATAAGTATTCTGTCCTGAAAACGCATTTTTGTAATTTGGCTCTCAGATGAATATACACAATTAGGTACATGATGTTCAAGGTAAGTCATTAACTCTAAGTCATACAAATTTCACCTGCTTTTGCAAATTTACGTGGATTTCTATTCTGGGCATGGGAATAATGTATGCAGAGTCAGCAGAAAACATACTTGCTTCTGTTTAGTTTATACTCTGTATAGAATAACCTATAAAACTTAGAAAGATGATAATAAGAAAAATTTGGTAAGCTGGCTAATTTCTTAATCTAAAAGACAGTCTTCCATAATTACAGACTTCAAAATTAAAACTGGGATTAAAAGAAACGCACTGACTTAACCTTTCCTAACGAACACAGAGAAATCATTTCAAAAATATTACAATGCTACTTTTAGAAATCCAGCTACAATCCTGATATCAATTACTGGTTGATACTGGCTATGTCATGAAGAAAACAGGAAAACTAAAAAAGTTTTATATTTCTCATATGAAAAAAAAATCCATAAAACATATTATTTTAGTCATGCCCCAAAAGTCTTTTTCCATCAGATGGATTTGTTTAAGCCAATTTCTTCTTCCACATCTTCATTATCCTAAAATAGGGCAAAAACTAGCAGCAAAAAACATTCCCCATTTAGTAACATATTTAAGAAAGTATTTTTTAATAATTAAGTATGAATTCAATAATTATTCTAATTTCAGATCAAATGTGGCCTCAATTGTCACTTATTTCTGATAGAACCAAATCAGAGCTTTTTCAGAATAGGATACCAGAAGCCAGCAGAGGAAGAGATATCTCACAAACAAACCCCTTTGTTAAGCAGTAATACGTGAAATGCAGTTCAAAACGATACAACCAGACATTATAAGAAAGCATATGCAAAGGATATTGCCTGGCAAACCATACTGCATGACATTATAGCACAGGATAAAACTGATTTCTAGTTGGCAATGGCAGAAGAACCAAGCCTCGTCATAGAAGCAATTACTCACCTTAACAGTGAGGTCCTCTTTCTTACCAACAAGCTCAACCCAAAGACTGAAGAAAGCAGGCATGAAATAAGGAATCGATGATAAGGCAGCATGGTGGAGTCAGAGGAACTGGGTTCAAATTCTGGACCTGCTGTTTACTATCTGTTTCATCTTCCACAAGTCACTTCCCTTCCTTGGCCCTTAACCTGTTTATTTCTCTGTAAAATGAGAGGCTAAGGCTACCTAACTTAGAAGGTTCCTTCTCCCTCAAATTCTCTAGCATTCAATTGTATGTTCTTCCCAGGACAAAGGAAGTGACGTGGAAGAATGCAAGGCCAGCACCTACCAGATGTGGGGAATCTGTAGCCTCAAGGCCACATGTGGTCCTCTAGGTCCTCAAGTGCAGCCCTTTGACTGAATCCAAACGTCAGAGAACAAATTATTCAGGAATACTTTTCATGAAGAGTAGTCCTGGAAGTGGGGACACTCTGGTAGTTCTTGTTCTCAAAACGGATGGGACAGTGAAAGTCTGTGTGAAACAGAGGTACTGAAATTCCAGGACCCAACTTGATACATATCCTGTGGTTAGAATTGAAGCCTTATTAAAAGAATTTCTTGGCACCTGCTTCAAATGATCACAGCTCTTGATTGATGGAGAGGTTTTTTGGTGAGTTGCCTTGGGTGAAGAGTCAGAGCCAAAAAGGGTATTTGTAATGCCAGGTGGGAGGTACAAGTTTAGTGTCTTACCCTCTAGACAGAGGAATTCATGTTCCTCTTTCCAGAGACTGGTTAATACCTTGGGAAGTGGACTAGGGACATCTGCCATAGCCTGTATGGATGACCTGAGTATTTTTAGCTAGGGTGTAGTAGAATCTTCTAGAACATTTCAGGCTGATGTTAATGTTAAGTGCACTCTGAAAAGACAGTTTTCCAAATGACACTTGGTATTGGCAGTCAAATACTGGGGGGAAAGTGATGAGAATTGTGTATACGTCCTTGGCGCTTTACAATTTAGAAAATGCTTTCTTTACAACATTCCTGTGAATTGGATAGTGCAGTCCTCCTCATAGTAGGAAATTGGAGGTCTGAAGAGGGGAAATAATTTGCTCAGGGCCATGAAGGAGGTAGTAGAATACAATGGTAAGAGAACCAGATTTGGAGTCAAAGGACCCGAGTTCAAATTCTAGCACTGTCACTTGTCTGTGTGCTTTTGGACAAGTAACTCACTTCTTTTCTGTGGGCCTCAGTTTCCTCCTCCAGAAGATGAGGATGGAGAGGGTTGGACTCAAGAGCCTCTCAGGTCCCTTTCAGCTCTAGACTGGGGACTCCCATAAGCTCCGTACTGTATATACTTCCAGCATATTGTGGCTTAAAGATGCTTTACTTTCGACCCTGTGGGCATGTATGGGCAGTTTATTTTGTAAGGAAAAATGTATTTTAAATTGGCAACAACCAATCTTTTGGACCAGAGCCTGTTCGTTAGTTGGGAACTAACTGCCTCTGATTGCTTGTAGGTCTTTTAGTTGTCACTCAGTCAACAACATCTATTGAGTGATTGAGTCCAACTGCAAAATTAAGGGATGGAGTCATGTACTGTGATATGGGGTGATTCAGCCTCGTGTTTTCCAGAGTATTTTTCTCACCCTAAGTGTTCCTACCAAAAAAGGTCTGCACAGCTTTTGCCCTCTCCTATTTCTGTCAATGTGTAGGTCAGGAAGAGGCCCTTCTATTCCATCCATCAAGATGTTCTAAGAGCTGGCATGCTGACTACATCGGACACACGTATAGAAGAGCAGTAACAGAGACCCTGCGTGAAAGAAGGGGGGGGATCCCCAGGGGGGGTTGGGAATCAGGACAAAGCAGGGTTTTAGTAATCTTCATTTAAATGTGCATCACACCCAATGCCCCTCCATTTCTGATACGTGATGCCAATGACTAGGAACAGATTTGAATGCCCTCATTCCTCCAAGCTGGTTGTCCCTTCCCCACGCTGATGGCTAGAATCCTTCCAAGGTAGACGAAAAATAGCCCAGCGGGGACCTCAAAATATTCTGCTGGGCAAAGCAGCATTGTTTGCATCATTGATCAGATACTTTCAGAACCACCTCAAAATGGCAAACCTCAGAAAAAAGTGGGACAGAGAACAGAATATAAGGAGAGAAGTTCAGGGAAAAAAAGAGAATAGAAACAAGAAAGAGATGTAAAAGGAAAGGGAAAATAAAATATAAATATAGACTCCCAGGCAAAGGAAAAGGAAGGCTTGATGAAACTGAGAAGAGGGGAAGGAGAGAAATCTTTGTCCGATTTTCAGTGTTAAAATTCTATTCATCTGTTCCTCCCATCCACTGGTGATATTTCTGTTTTGCTTAAATATCTACAAAATTCTACAGAAGTGAAATTACAGTCTTTCAGACCAACACTTTATGCTACAAGAAAGCCAAAGGAAGCCTGTTGGTATTCCTAAGTACAGTGACTAGCTTTCAACCAGTTGTAGAAGCTCAGGTAAATTGTGCAATTGTCTTGGGAATGATGCTAAGTTAAAGCAGAGTCAGAAATATCTAACATTTCAGAGCAAAACAAGATGGTGATTAGATGCAAAAAAAAAAAAAAGTGACCTAAAAGTCAGGGACACACAATCGGCTCAAAACAAGCTGAAGCATCAGAACAAATGGGCCAAAGCAAGGCTGAATGAACCCCAAGCACACCAACATTAGCACTAGAATTCTGTGTCCTAACTGGCATCAAAGCAGCAAAAAGCAAAGAGAAAAAGGGCTAGGAGAGAGAAAATGAAAGGGAAGTGTGGTTGTAAAAAAGGAAAGAGAAGAGAATCTAGGAGAGGTAAGAGTGAATCAGAACAAAAGAACATTTTTCACCAGGTACCTTGAGTGGGTTTTATGCTATACACAGCTGTTTCTGGAACTCTAGAGGACACATATCCTAGAACTGAGATACTCCCAGCAGAATTTCAAGTAGTTCACTTTTCCTAGTCTTCCTCCCCTAATTAAAATGGTAAAGGGCAGTTCACTGTGGGTTTTTTTTTTTAAGGAAAAATGAAAACTCCCTCCATTAGACTGTGAGCTCCTCAAGAGCAAGGACTGTCTTTTGCCTTTCTTTGTAACTCCAGTGCTTAGCACAGTGCCTGGGCACCTAGTAGGTGCTTCAAATCACTGCTTCCTGACTGAAGTAATGCATTACATTTCCTCTACAGCTGGCGCTATGGTACTTTCTAAATTCCTCTAGATTTATTCACACATAGGCCAACAGACTAGTTGCTAGTTAGGGGATCAGGGGCCTCATCTATCTACTGTTATAATGCTACAGTGGAGCCATAAAATAAATCTGTAACTGAATGTTGTATGTAAAATACACAGTGCTATGATATAGCGATTGATTCAAATAGCGATGTGGCTAAGTTGGATATTAAATCTCACTTTGTAAGTGCAAACGCTAAAGCTTGCAGGCTTATTCCAAATGCCTGTTACCTGAGGGATCTTTTCCAGCAGCAGATAATACAGCAGCACTTTTGCTTTTAGCTAAAGAGGCTTGTGTAGGGGTGAGAAGGCGATTGATTATACTAGTCTCCAGAGCACTGATCTGAAAGCGCCGAGCTGAATAATGAGAACAAATCAAAAAGGATTCAACCAGAATTCTCACACAAATAAAGGCAAAGCAAGAAAGAGCAATATGAATGGCTGCACATGATAAATTTCTTAGCATAAAAACAGAAGTAGTAATGAGAGCAACATATTATATCACAATAGATTAAACACTGCAATCTGATAGGGTTGCATTGGTTATCCTGGTCTTTAAACACATGCAATGTTAATGAAGAGGTTAACTGAAGAAAAAAAAAAAAAAGGAGGAAAAAGTCATAGTATACCACCAGCACACTAAATGAAAGCATTTGGGTAATGGGGATGCATGAGCAGGCCTTGTATGGTATATAGTCTTTTTTAGAAGAACTCATGTGGACTTCATGACTACATACAACTTAAGAAACTTTGAAAATACTTTCAAATCAATTGCTATTTTATGTTATTTTGCATACAAGTTCTCAAACCACTGACTCTCAAATACTACTTAAATTAATCACAGAAAAACCAAGGGACTATCGATAATTTCGTAAATATTTAAGTTGGCTGGAACAATCCTCTTCCAATCTGACTGGTACACAGTGTGGTGGATGACTTCACATTCCACCTGACACTGTCTGTATGGCCATGGGCAAGTCACTTAACCTTCTCGGGCCTCAATTTCCATCTGTAAAATAAGAACACTAACCTACAGCACTGATTTCACAGGGTTGTCATGAGGTTCAAAGAAGCTAATGTGCATAAAAAGCTTTGCAAACTTTCAAATGCTATATGAATGTTGTCAGATCACAGCAGCTGGGGCCTACAAGTTGGGTGGTTTAGGATAGGTCACTAGAATCTTTAGGATGGACCTCAGTTTCCCCATTTACAACATGAAGGGGCTGAACTAGATGATCTAGAAGGTCCTTTCCAGCTGTATGTTCTAAATGTTTTTCCACAATGATATAGACTGTAATAGGATTTTACCTATAGAAATAAGAAGTGACTATTATATAAGGTTTGGTTTGGCAAAAAAAACAAAACAAAACATCCAAAGCTGTTTGAAAGGGAAATGTTAGCTAGGAAAAGAGCCTTGAAAACTAAGAAACTTTTAATTTTGATATAGTAATTCTTAAAAGGTAATAGCTTATTACAAAATACTATGTCTCACCTTTATAAATATGAAAACATAATCTTATTTTCCTCACTCTGTACACACAGGTCATAAAGACAACAAGAAGCTTGTCTCAAAATGTAAAAACTAGCCACTAAGATTTAATTTCCATAATTCACTAAAACTAAAAATGAAAACGTCTGAAGTACACCTAGTCCTCCAACAAAACTCTATCTCTATCCCCCATGAACTATCTCTTCAGCTTAATTTTATATAGGCACACTCTACCACAATGTCACCTTTAATGGTGTCATTTCATGATAGTGTCATTAATATATTATAATGAACATCACTTCCTTCCCCTATCAATAGCATGCAAAACCTTACTAGGAGGTTATCTGGCTGATTACTCAAGACCCAAAGCAGATGGCACTTAAGCCCCAACAATGTTAACTCCTCATAACATTATTTCATCTCATAGTGTGGTTTTTTCTGGAACCAGTTAACAACAGTGGGTGGAATGTGCTTGTAGTCACCCTGCTGAGCTGCCTGTAAGCAATACTTGGCAAATTTTACTTAAGGTTTTCTGTTTTACTGGCTTCATTTATGGCATTCATGTTCACCTTTTTAGTTAGAAGAGAAATCCTTTGGTTTCTAACTGTGAGGATAACTTCTGAAGCAATTAAGATGACCTTTTAGGATCTTCCACTTGGTCTAGGTCTGGAGATCAGAGGCATCAAACATACCACCCTACAACACTCCCAAGTGCCACTGAACCAGATTAAAATGCCATTGGGAAAATAATTAACAAACTAAATAATAATACAATAAAACACAGATAACATGACACTGTAAAACTAAGTCAATCTGTGGCCTGCAGGGATCCTTATGTCTCTACTGGAGTCTGACCCTACTGGTGCAGAAAAAGTAGTCTCACTACCAGCTCTAGTCAAACATAAGCTTCTTTTCTCCTGCTCGCTCCTCTTAGAGACCAAATGCAAAGGAACATCATTTGAAACAAGCTATTTAAATAATGGAATTTGGAGTTGATCATTCAATTCTTTACCATACTGGTAATACGCATTTACTACTTTCCATATCTTACTTACAGACTAATTCTAAGAAAATGTAAGCTAATTTACCTCTCAAAGCACTTTATAAAATGTAAGCATGCATAAATATAGCAATAAATTATTTATTTTTACTTATAGATATTAGTATTAATAAAAGAAATGAAACACCTAAACAAATGGGAAAATCAGTAGGATTAGAGGGAGTAGTAATAGAGTGTTTGATGATATCAAAGTCCTCTGAATTGAGGAATAAGCACACTGTAATTCTGTACATAGTCTCTGAAGTCTACTGCTATTGTGTCTCAACATTTCCATCCATCATCTAAAATGTTTACCACCCCCCTCCATTAGTGTCATATGTGCTGCAAATCTCACAATTTGAATAATCCCAACTGTTTTCTTTGTACTTTCCTAGTTTTGCAAGGAAAACAAAACAAGGGAAAATGAGCCATGTCTTGGCCCTTGCTGGGGAGAGGCTGCTCAGAATGCTCAGGGCCTTTCTTTGTTAGGCCAGCTGCTTAAAGTACAAGTCCTTTTTAGCAGCTACAAAGTGAAAGTGCACACTGGCACATTCGTGAAAACAGTACCGACTCATTTGGAAGTTCCTTTGTCAACTGAAAAATGATCATTAATTAAGTCATCTGCTCAATTTATGAATTTTTTAAAAACATACTGTGAAAATAAAGAGATGAAATATTTTTAGAGTAAATTGTTATGTGTCTTGAAGTATTTATTTCCACTACAAGTAAAGGAAAAACAGAAGGTTCTAATCATTCATCATTTAAAAGAGAAATATTTACAATACTATGCATCTCATCGCATAATTTACTTCTGTCTGTAATGTTGATCTCTGTAGACTAAACATGCTTCAAGTGTCAGAAGGGATTACTTAAAAGAAGACCTGGCAGATGTTTATTTTGCCTTTTAAATGCCAGGTCTATCAGTTAATATCTGGCGACCTTGAGGTATAACAGGTAGTGGTAGCCTTGGAGTCAAAAGCTCCAGGTTCAAATCTGGCCTCAAATATTTTACTAGCTGTGTGATTACTGGCAAATCACCTAACCTTGCAGAAGCCTCATTTTCCTCATCTATAAGAGGATAACAAAACTTGCACTACCTTCCTTACAGGTTTGTTGAAAGGAAAATATTTGCCAAAGCTTAAAGCGCTATATCAATATGACTTATTATAGAAAAGAAGTCATTCCAATTTTACTACATGACTACCAACAATAATAATGATAATAATACTAACCTTCTTGCACCAAGAAAAAACTAAGGAAGCTTTGAGAGAATTGAAACCTTTTGGGTTTTACTTTATTAGGAAAGAAAATGTTTACCTTTAAAGCCTTATTTTGACTATAAGCTTGATTATGAAAAGATCTCAAGATCAGGGAAAAAATACTAAGGACTTGGAAATATCAATAACCTAAGTAACTACGAAATTTTAAAAGACCTGTCATCTTGCTACCTAAAAAAAGAACCACAGGAAATAGAAACATATTGAAATGCTAAGATTTTACGCGAAGATCAAATGATTTAACATGATACGAGGAGCTGAACTACAAGTGGCCACACTCTTTTTCTGTAATGGAATCTGACTGTAATACATATACAGTACCAAGAAGCAACCGAAAAGAATGCTCCATTCCTCAGCTTCTCCCCAATGGCCTCCATTTCCTCAAATGCAGAAATTACCAAACAGTCACTTTGAGGAAAACGGACACCACTCAGAGAGTGAGTGAGACTGTGGTAGTCTCTCACTGCTTTTCATCTGTATAAATTAAATGCTTTTGCTACTTTCATTTTTTCTGCTGACTGAATTTTCCTACTGTGCAATATGACCACCAAACATAATTCACTCAATAAGTGATTACTGTGATGGGAGCCACAACTAACCTGTGCCCTCAGTCTCCCCTAAACATTAATTATGTCAAACAATCAGAAGTTGTGGACATTTCTATATATATGGCATCAGAGATTTAGAGCTGGAAAGGACCTTAGATGACATCAGGTCCAACTCCTCCATTTTATAGATGAAGATAATTGAGGCACAGAGAAGTGAAGTGACTTGCCCAGGGTGACATAGCTAATAAGTGTCTGAGACAGAATTTAAACTTAACCACGTCCAGCATTCATCTACTACACCATCTAGCCAGCCATTAGTCACAATGAGTAGCTGGGAGTAGCTAATATATCAACATAGTCCCTGGAAAAGAATTTTCATTGCTAACTTAGAATATAATGATTAATAACATTATTTAACACATAAATAGAAGGAAGATAGAAACGTTTAGCCTCAAAACACTCTATAATTTAAGTCTTGGTTTCTTTTAGTCACAATAAATAACACTTTGAATAGCAAATCGTGCAATTCAAGCCCAGTAAATCCATTTGGCAGGATTAATAAAAGAATCATAAACCAAGATTACACATCAGTGAAAATGACATTGAAGGGATGATGAACAGCTCCTCTACTTCAAAGTACAATGGAGTGATCATTCCAAATAAATTAAAATCTTGAAGAATATGAAAATTAATTTATACAATCAAAATAAACATGTTGAAAGAGTTAATCTCCCTGCACAGAAACCCATGAAATAACTACACTTACTCTTGTCAGAATTTGGAACAGTGGCTGAAGATGATGACAAACGTTTACTGATGACAGAATCTGTTTGTTTGAGATTCACTGCAGATGAAGCATATCTGTTGCCTGAAGGAAAAAAACAGTATTTACTATAATCATAGCTCAAATATTTAAGCATCATTCCCTGAATCACAAGTATTCACTGAAGCATAAGTATTCTGTCCTGAAAACGCATTTTTGTAATTTGGCTCTCAGATGAATATACACAATTAGGTACATGATGTTCAAGGTAAGTCATTAACTCTAAGTCATACAAATTTCACCTGCTTTTGCAAATTTACGTGGATTTCTATTCTGGGCATGGGAATAATGTATGCAGAGTCAGCAGAAAACATACTTGCTTCTGTTTAGTTTATACTCTGTATAGAATAACCTATAAAACTTAGAAAGATGATAATAAGAAAAATTTGGTAAGCTGGCTAATTTCTTAAATCTAAAAGACAGTCTTCCATAATTACAGACTTCAAAATTAAAACTGGGATTAAAAGAAACGCACTGACTTAACCTTTCCTAACGAACACAGAGAAATCATTTCAAAAATATTACAATGCTACTTTTAGAAATCCAGCTACAATCCTGATATCAATTACTGGTTGATACTGGCTATGTCATGAAGAAAACAGGAAAACTAAAAAAGTTTTATATTTCTCATATGAAAAAAAAATCCATAAAACATATTATTTTAGTCATGCCCCAAAAGTCTTTTTCCATCAGATGGATTTGTTTAAGCCAATTTCTTCTTCCACATCTTCATTATCCTAAAATAGGGCAAAAACTAGCAGCAAAAAACATTCCCCATTTAGTAACATATTTAAGAAAGTATTTTTTAATAATTAAGTATGAATTCAATAATTATTCTAATTTCAGATCAAATGTGGCCTCAATTGTCACTTATTTCTGATAGAACCAAATCAGAGCTTTTTCAGAATAGGATACCAGAAGCCAGCAGAGGAAGAGATATCTCACAAACAAACCCCTTTGTTAAGCAGTAATACGTGAAATGCAGTTCAAAACGATACAACCAGACATTATAAGAAAGCATATGCAAAGGATATTGCCTGGCAAACCATACTGCATGACATTATAGCACAGGATAAAACTGATTTCTAGTTGGCAATGGCAGAAGAACCAAGCCTCGTCATAGAAGCAATTACTCACCTTAACAGTGAGGTCCTCTTTCTTACCAACAAGCTCAACCCAAAGACTGAAGAAAGCAGGCATGAAATAAGGAATCGATGATAAGGCAGCATGGTGGAGTCAGAGGAACTGGGTTCAAATTCTGGACCTGCTGTTTACTATCTGTTTCATCTTCCACAAGTCACTTCCCTTCCTTGGCCCTTAACCTGTTTATTTCTCTGTAAAATGAGAGGCTAAGGCTACCTAACTTAGAAGGTTCCTTCTCCCTCAAATTCTCTAGCATTCAATTGTATGTTCTTCCCAGGACAAAGGAAGTGACGTGGAAGAATGCAAGGCCAGCACCTACCAGATGTGGGGAATCTGTAGCCTCAAGGCCACATGTGGTCCTCTAGGTCCTCAAGTGCAGCCCTTTGACTGAATCCAAACGTCAGAGAACAAATCCCCTTAATAAAAGGATTCGTTCTGTAAAACTTGCACTCAGTCAAAAGGCTACAACCAAGGACCTAGAAGGCCACAGCTTCCCCACCCCTGAGTCCTATACCATACCCAATCAATGTTGGACAATTCTCCACCATAGGTCAGCCTAATGACAAGAATCTAGGAAGAAAAAAGTGTGTGCTCCCATAAACTAGGTTTTCTCTAGCACTTTTTTCTATAGATTTTATTAAAGGAGGCTTCTGTTACAATCTGATCGCTGTCATGACCAAAACACCACTCTCTTTTCTGCAACAGCTTTTATATTCATACTAACAACAGTTTGTTTCGCCAGTGCTGTAAGGTCTGGAAAGCGCTTTATACTCATTGTTACATTTGATCCTCACTACAATACTATGAGGTAGGTGCTATCATTATACCCAACTTACAATTGAGTAAACTGAGGCTCAGAGAGGTCAGGTCATTAACATACACAGCTGCCACTTCTGTTCCTTTCACCACAGACAGCATTAGTACAACGTAATTTTTTGGGTTTTGGGTTTTTTTTTTGGTGAGGCAATCAGGGTTAAGTGATTTGCCCAGGGTCACACTGCTAGTAAGTGTCAAGTGTCTGAAGCTAGATTTGAACTCAGGTCCTCCTGACTCCAGGGCCGGTGCTCTATCCACTGCACCACCTAGCTGCCCAGGTACAATGTAATTTTTAAAGCACGTGGGGACAGCTTGTTTTCCCTAAGACTGATATGTTCTTTGAGTTTTTTCTACTGGTCAACTCAGACATCCAACTAATAAACAGCATAGAATGTAGTGACATACAGTATGCCTACAAGGGCCAATGTCTCCTGCCACGAGCTCTGTGGCACCATCTCCTGGGCATCTGAAACCTCTCGTAGCTCAAGGACACAGATCTGAGTTTTCCCCATTTTAAGGGGAAAAGGTTTTAGGGCACATCTCCATTTCCTCTTCTGGAAGCCATAAGAAATGCAAAGGTCTTCTGGGTTCATGACTAAATGCTATGGGCCTGAAAATATCAACAAATGAGATACTAAAATTTAAAACACTTGTTTTGATATTTTACAAGTCCCAAAGGAAATATAAGCATGTTAAAATAGTGATATTTTACACAAATATAAAATCATTTTTCCTGATACAAGGATCTGAACTTCAAGGAAGTGGTCCTACAGCAGATTCTTCTACTGCAACACAGAAACTAGGAAAGTCTCTGCATAACCTTTGACAGGCTTATGCCAGGCTGGAGGCACAAGAGGAGTTTGATGTACAGGGACCTTTAGGTTACTCTCTGGCAAGATGGGCACAAAGCGGGAGTGAATGGCACTGCTCACTATTTTCAAGAAGGCTGCATTCAGTTCTATAGTTCACCAGAAGACTATACGTAAAATATACTACATATATAATATATACACACAACATACTAACCACTAGACCACAATATCCACCTAGACTGCAGACACAATGCGAAAGGTTTTGCTCAATTAGTCCAATCTACAGTTATCATTCGTTCCCATCAACTGTTACAGTCTATACAATTCATTTGGCATATTTTGACTTCTCACAAGTCTATGCCTGCCTTTTCATGCAGACTGTAAGCTTCTTGAGGGCGGGTCCTGTATCATACACTATATCCTTCACATACCTCGCATGATTTGTTGTGCCCTTAACTACTAGTTAGTCCTAGTATATGAGCAAGAGAACAGGGTCAGGGGTTCCACTAAACTGGCTTTGGGAACTGTGTGTCCATGTTTCCTTAAGAAAGGCCACAGTAACTCAGGGCTTGGTGAGAGAGGTTGCCTTTAAGTCACGCAATCACGGATGTCCTAGAAAATCACCTGAGTGGATTAAGTATGGAGTCTATAATCAGTCAGCTAGGACATTACTTATCACAGATCTAATTATATGCCTACCTTGTGCATGTCAATAATGCAAGACCAGATTTGGAGGCAGCACAGAACAGTCAGTCGACTAGCATTTTTTAAGTGCCTCTTAGGAGCCAGGTGAGTACTGGACTAATGAAAAATGCCTAGTATCTAGAAGGAGGGAGGCAGTTTACTTAACATAAATGCTGTCTTCTGGCATGGTGTTTCTGTTACTTATCGAATATTATTTATGACTTTTCTTAATGAGACTTGGCCCATTCTTCAAATACTATAGTCACTTTGTTTTGCTTTTGTAAAGAATGTTTCATGGCTACTGGTACATAGGGTTGGTGGTTTTGATAGACATATCCTCCCCTAGCCCTGTCATTTTAACTACTTTATTCCCAATCTCCCCTCACCCTGCTATTTAGGCCCTTCCAGGGACCTACCTATCCTATGGCTCATTTCTAGCAAGGGTTTGTTCTTTGGATAGCTACCAAGCAACCTCCGCTAAGGTGTCTAATAGTATTTTCAAATATTCCTGCTGTCAAGGGCATCTATGTTTTAATAGGAAGCTCTTGACCCCAGAAAAGCCAATCTCAACGAAACTATCTCTAACTGCAGAATTTCAGGCACCACAGAAGTGATATATATAGTGAAGGAAGACATTTTTGGACAGAGAAGCCTCTCTGACATCTCTCTCTCAAATCACAACATACCAACTCTCTATTCTGGCCCAAGCTGAATACCAAAAAAACCCCAACAACAGCAACAGCAACAACAACAACAACAAAAAATCACATTAATCTAGATTATACCAGTTGGGAACCTGTGATCCTTTTGATGGAATGGGCTACTCATTGTTCCCATCTCCATAAAAAAAACAGCTTGCAATCATTTGGGCAAGCATAACACTCGAAGAAGGGGTAATTGTCAACTTTGAGAATAAGCTGTCTTCAAACATTTTTAGAGAGTCTAGTTTCTCATGTCTACATTAATAATTACATCAATATTTGAAAGCAATCCCACAAAGAACCTCTATCAAGGCAAAATCACCAACCAATATAAGTTTTTATAGGTACTTTGAAGCATATAGCTGTATTTCCTAGGAAGTATTTTGTAACATGGATCAATTCAGACTGGCTTCCCCCACTAAATCCTAAAGTACCTAATTCAGTGGACTAGCTGGTTCCCTATGCCAGCTGACATTAAATGCTGATTCCCAATTGCCACTGAGCCAACTACAACACTAAGCACTCATCTCATTACTGCTTAAAACCTTAGGTGACTGACTCCCATCATCTACTGAATAAAGTTTAGCCAAATGATCAAGGCCTCCTGGAACCTGGAACTTTCCTACCTTTCCTCAACTCACCCTGCCTTTTCCTATTTCTCTGCCTTTAGTTATAGCATGCCCATGCCTGGAATGCATTCTCCTTGCTCCATTTTCACCCTCTCCAATGCTGCCACCATCTCCTCCAGGAGGTCTTCTCTGACTCTTTTTTGCCTTTAATGCAGCATTTTCTTTGTTCCTTTCCTATGTATATACCTTATGTTATTCTCTACTACAGTAACTTGCATGTTATGTCCTTCCAACTATGCTAAATGTAACTTTCATGAGGACAGGAATCTCTGTATCCCCAGTACTTAGCAGAGAGTTCACTGAGCATGAGAGGAGCTTAATACATGTTTGTTAAGTGGAATAAAATTAGTCTGAATGAGTGAGATTTTCCTGTACAAGATCTAATACATGGCTATATATCTCCAGGGCCAGAATCCTGACACCTCTGACTCTGCAGCATATTTCCTTACCACTGGCTTACTTCATCACAACTAGTGAAAGGGAAGCTTATAGCAGCATATGTTAGTGGAAAGCACATAGTAAGAGCAAGCAAGAATTTTGGAAACAAATACCACTGGATCCACCTTCTTCTGCAGTCTGCAGCTCTGTGGAAGAAGGGAGTTTGTCAACTAAATCTACAGGATTGGGTGGGGAAGCACTTGACAGACCTAAACAGAAAAACAGTTACAATACAGATGGAAAAATGGAGACAGTGGTTTCAACTAAACACCAATAACACTAATAAAATCATATATATTCTTAAAATAGCCAGGGATGATCACCAATGTTTGCATTTAAATGGACACTTAGAAGTGACTAATGAAAAAAAATTCAAAAATAAGATTTCAGGAAATTCTTGTGTCCAACTCACCAATTTTCAGTAATTTTCCATTTTCTACTTATTATTTCCTCTGTTCACTTTGTTAACTTAAGTCTTAAAAGTTTCAAAACTTAAATTTTTTAAAAGGTCCTCTTTTTCTAAGGAAAAAGCTGATAAAAATTATTGTGCTTAATAAGGAGTCTCACTAACACATAGAGAATTACATATGCATCTACCATTTTTCAATCTTGGTGAAGTAAATCTACCAAAATGGCAACCTCTCCATTTTAGTATATCAATCTAATGCTAATATTATGTGGTAAGTCTCATATTACTAACCAATATTTAGGTATAAACACTAAAAAATCATATGAAAATAAACATTGTATTAAAATTGGATTAATAACATGAAAAAATTCTTTGATTGCTTTTCTTTTTCACTATATGCAATCAGTGCTACTAATAATTACCAGATTTGCTGTCTGAATCTGGTGTTACAGAGCCTCCCCATGACCATCTCTTCTGTCGCTGTTCTAGCCGCTTGCTACGTTCCAAAGTACGGTTAACCATTGCCTCATAATGTTCCTATTTAACATTTAAAAATAAATAAGTGCTCATTACATTAGTGTATCGACTTTATGTATAGTTTATACAACTTCCCTCCACCCATGCACCCCACACTTCAAGCAAAAAATGTACAAAGAATTACGGGAACATAAATGATCTGCCTATGCCTCGCCTTACAAATCATCAGAGAATCTCAGAACTGGATGCTATTTCACAGGCTCTCTAGTCCAACCTATACCTGTATGGGAAGCCCCTCTATAATATACCCGACAAGTCCTTGCACTGAAAATAATGTCTCATAAGATCTCTGGTGTCTAAAGCCCTTCCTGTAGAATGCTGCTAAGTTCTAAATCTAACCACATCATTGGCCTTTAAAGTTACACTTAATTACCTATCCTAAAGAAATATTTAACACTAGGCTGACAAAATCCTAACATTAAGCTAAGAAAACAGGCTAAATAAAATTAAAATAGATGGCTAGAATAAGATATTGAAGCAAATAAAATTGGAATGATAATACCTATACATTAGTAGTAACAACATTACCTGAATACTGGCAACCAGAGATTCAATTAACTAATACTGTACATGTAAAATGAAAGCAAAAGAATATGGATATGTAAAAAGGCAATAATCACTTCCAATTTATCTTTCTATTCAACGATGCCCAATCTGCATGCCTCCTATGTCCCTACAGGAAGTACAAATCAAATAGCTTTAAAGTATCTACTAAAATAGTAAACTGAAAAGATTTTTTGAAGAAAAAAGTTTTGGAGGAAAAAAGCCTATCAGAAAATTATAATGAGACCCCAAACCATGAGTAGAGGTACAGACTTTAAATACTAGCTTCTTGTTTTGTTTCTTACCTGTTAAGAACTCAGGGCTACCCTACAACCATAATGCAAATGTGTACCTTGCTTTAAGCAAATCTGTTATCTGAAACTATGACTTTACACAAAAGGTACAGGACTTCCAAGCCACTGCCTCTCAACAATATAAATTCACCCCTTTTCCCCCCACAGCCCCTATCTCAATCCAATTTTTCAAGGTCCAATTAACTCCCAGTAGCCAATCCAGGGCCCAACTGAATCCTTCCCTTCTTGTTAGCACACAGAACCTACTGTAAGTATCATACAATTAGTTTAAATATTTAATCTAGCACTTAATTAGATGCTGTCTCATATTGTTTTCAAGTATAAGACAGTAAGGTGTGGTGGAAAGAATACTCAACTCAAAGACGGCAGGAAACTACGTAGAAAACTTTTCTCGAATACTGTGGAACCCAGGAAGGCAGTTAAACTAAGCCTCAGTTATAAAATGAGGCCTCTTATGAGGGCCTGATGAGATAATGTATAGAAAGCACTTTATAAATCTTTACATTCTAGATAAATAATGTCTCATATTATTATTGTCATCATTATCTCCCTCCCAAAAAAGATTGCGTTTTAAAGGCAGAGCCCACAAGTATATAAGAGGATTCTCAGTTCTATAAAATAATTAATAGCAGGATTCCTTAAACAGAAAAGTCCCTTTGAGCATTAAAAATATAGCTCAGTTTACACACTTTTTTTTAGGAACACACTTCATGAAAGCTGTCATATTTCAGGCTTTAACTGGTGAAAAAAATTAATCTTCAATAATGATAATCAATTTGAAAGCCTTGCTCTAAGTTATAACAGACATTAGTATTAATAAGAAGAAGAATAAAAATAGTAATAGTAGTAGCTAGCATTTATATGGTGCTTTAAGGTTTGCAGAGTGCTTTATGTTATCTCATTTGATCCCCACAACAACAATAGCACTGGAAGATACTGCTATTATTATCCCCATTTTAAAGATGAGGAAACTGGGGCAGATAGAGTTTGACTTGCCCAGGGTCACAAAGCTAGTGAGTGTCTGAGGCTGGATTTGAACTTAGGTCTTCTTGACTCCAAGTCCAGCTCTCTGTCCAATGGGCCACCTGCCCGCTTGTTAGGGTAAAACTATGGTCATATAGACTGACACGTCATACAGACATTTTTTTAATGTTGTTTCCAGAAGTGAGTAAGATGGATTTCTTGTCTCAATGATTTCTTAAATTTCACTATAGCATGCTTCGAATACTCAACTAAACAAAGCCAACCTCAGGGACAGAAGGTCTCTAACTCTGCCCTGACGATAACAATACCACAGCAACACCATCCCTACAAAGACCCTAGGTAAAAATGACTATTTCTCTGGGGACTAAGATAAAGCTACTAAAAAAAGAGAGTGGTCTATGCCTTTTGAAGAGAAAAAAATTCAGAACAGCAGACATCTCAGAAGCAAAGAAAAACAGGTGAATATGTCCAAGAATATCAGCAATCAAGAGCTGAAATATACACACACACACATTTCTGTATTTAATGACAGGGAGAAGTCACCTTTTATTCTACATTATAGACGAACACCGTCTATGATAAAGATGAACACAGATTTTTATGTCACATTATAAAAACATTAATAATAGCTCACAATTCCCTAATTCTTGATCATTTCAAAAGCATTATCTTCAGCAGTAAAGAAAGAGGCAGACCGAGGATGTGAGGCTCAGCAAGTTCAGTGACTGGACCACATTCCCAAGCAGAGGAAGCCAAGTCAGGACTCAAAGGCAGTCTCACCAACCCCACGGCTGGGACTTCCCACCATGCCATGCTGCCCTCAGAGGCGCGTCAGCCAGCTCCTTCCAGAGCCACTGCTGCTCTATACATGATGTTTTCTCATAAATGTGTCGTGTGTGTGTGTGTCTGTGTGTGGTTTGTCCTTCATTCTTGAAGAGGGCCATGACATCAGGGAGATGATGGCATGACTTGCAACTGACTTTGCTTTGAGTGAGGGCTGTGCAAAGTCTCCTCCAGAGCCATCTGGGTCCAGCAGTCTCACAAATGAATGATTCTTCTAAGAAATGCTATAATAATACTGATTCTCAAACCCAGTTACTCATCTGATATCAGTTGTAAGAAACATGCCAAGCTAACGTCTGATATTATGTCCTTGTCCATCCTGTTGGGAAGGTATGACAGACAACATGGACACCTAACAATTTGAAGAAAGGCACTCAAGGATTCAAAATTTGTATCTGTCGTAACCTAAAATAAATGCAACTTTTGAAACTTCAAAATGAAAGCAAATGGTGGTCTAGTTTTTGGTATCAATATCAGGTCTTTAAGCCACACACTCCAGTACATGCTCTTGGCAATGCTAATAAACAAATAGCCACAAAAACACAGAAGCTATAGTCCTACCATACAAGACAACAAAATGACCTACGGAAAAGTGCCTCTGACAAAGTATCTTATTTAAGCATCTTATTATTTTATTGAAAGAAACATCTATTCCCATGGTCCAAAAAGAAAAAGACTCAAGATCAATCAGAACAAATACAAAGCATCTGACTGGACCTGTAGCTAAAAAACAAGCTACATATATGTGAAATAGGATGGTTACTGATAACACCCACACATCCTAGAATGGGATGGGATTCATTGTGAGTGAGCCACAAGCTGAACTAACAGTAACATGGCACTAACTGGTACTCAAATATCAGGAATAATACTAGGATACATGTGGAAATAAATCTAGGGAGAGCCTATGAGATCATTTTCCCATGACATCTGTCCTGGATAAGCCCTTATTTATTAACACCAACCTCTTGAGCACTCAAAATTAATGTGGCAAAGTGCTCTGCTTATAGAAGAGCCATTGGTATTATACCCTGAGCCTACTGTCCCCTTATTCCACATACACAATCTAATGAGTTTGGTTATCTGGCTTCTAAGACCACGGTAGATTAGAAACGGCAATTTAGAAGTGGGGCAGGCACAATGACAACACTGAGAAGCAAGAACAAAGACAGAAAAACTATAAAAAGACAATATAGTAACTCAAAGAGCATGGCAGGCAGGAGCAACTTAGTTTGGGAGTAAAGAATCCTACAATACTAAAACAGCTCCTAAAGTCATCACTACATTACAGAACAGGATTACAATTAATGATCATAATGATGACCTTGAGGCAAGATTACACTAAATTATGTTTAATATACTCTGTTCAAGAAGAAGGACCTTGCCTCATGATGGAAAATGCTATCCACATCCAGAGAAAGAACTATGGAGTCTGAATGCAGATGGAAGCATACTATTTACTATTTTTTTTCGTCTGTTGTGTTTTGTTTCCTCTTTCTGGTGGTTCCTCTTATTGGTTCTAATTCTTCCTTACAACATCACTAATGTGAAAATATGTTTAATAGGAATGTAAATGTATAGCCTGTGCACCATCTTGGGGAGGGAGGGGGAGAAAAATTTAAAACTCAAAAGCTTATGGAAGTGATTGTTGATAATTCAAAATAAATTATTTTTTTTTAAAAAGGACCTTCTAAAAATATTTTCATTAAAATTTGTTTCAAGTGTTGGTGTTTAAAATGTATCCTGAAAACTTGGCTATCTGGAATGACTCATTCCCCAAGGACTCCAGATCATTTAGATTTTACTTTAGCAATAGGAAAGATTTTAGGGGTACCACCATTTTTCTAGTCACCCAGGTTCACACTCACCACCCCTGCAGCCAATCAGTTGCTAAGTCTTGTTAATTCTGCCTCTTCAGCATCTCTTACACCTGTCTCCTTCTCTCTACTCACCGCAACCACCCTAGTTCAGGCTCTCATCACCTCTAGTCTGGGCAACTTCAACAGCCCCCTACTACAGATCTTCCTGCATCCAGTTTCCTCTTAAATTCATCCTCCACACAATTGCCAAATTTATATTCCTAATATGGAGGTTTGACCAGGTCAGTTCCCTGCCCATGAAGCTCTAGAGCCTCCCCAGGGCCTCTAGAGAATGAGTTTCTCCATTTGGCATTTAAAGCCTTTCACAGTCTGGCTCCAGGCTCTTTCTTCAGACTCACTGCACCTTACCCCCTCCTCACCCTACATACTTCAGCTGTACTACATACACTATACTGTACTGTACTATTTGTTGTTCCCAGCATAAGACCGTCTATCTCCCATATCCATGCTTTTATATATAGGCTGTCCTGGTGCCCTGAATGCTCTCTGCCTTCCCTACTTGCATGTCTTAAAACCCATAAGTCCTTTCAAGAAGCCTTTCCTCATTCTGCCAGTAGTTAATGCTCCTGCAAATAATGGTGTATTTTGTGTGTGCACATGTGTATATGTATGTATGTATGTATGTATGTATATATGTACTTATCTGTGAACATGTATTCCTCAAGAAGAATGAAAACTCCTTGAAAGCAGGGATTATTTAACTTTTCTATTTATATTACCAATGCCTAGCATACAATAGGCACTTAATGAATACTTGATGAGAGGCCAGAACTATTATTATTAAAATCTAGAGTGTTAACTCCAGTAAAAACATAGGACCTTCTGAGGCTGGCTAACACTCACTAATGGATGCAGAAACAGAAAGATTAGGGGGAAAGAGGCCAGGAAATTGGGGTTGTCTAGAGGACAGCGAGGAGAAAATCTCAAATCTTGTCACCACTGAAGTAAAACGCTAAAAATTCTAAGCAGCTTACACATGGTCAAGTAAGAAAACTCAAGGTCAGAGAGAAGAGCAAGGAGCTTGGGACAAAATCATGCAGCAATCCTAGTTTAGGGCCTGGAGCCGGCCCAGCCCAGCTCTACAGCCTGGTGTCCTTAGCCCAAGTAGCCACCATAATATAGCAGGCAAACTGCAGCCTAGGTCCATTAGCTGGAAAGGCGTTTACTCTCCAAGCTGAGAAGCACTAATCATGAAGGTTCCAGGCCTCAATACCCCAACAGATATAACACAGAAGGAAAGGGAAAAAGAGAAGGTGTGGCAAACCTGGTTTTCCATATGAAGGACTGGAAAGAGAAAAGATGAGACAAAGAGCACGAAGCTATTAGAAAAATATCTCCAGATGTAGGACACAACAGTGGCCTTGGATTATCTGTAGCATATTAGGGGGAAAGGAAGGGAAGAAACATTTCTACAGCACCTACTATGGGCCAGGCACTATGCTAAGCACTTTACTCATATTACCTCATTTGATCCTCACAACCCTGGGAGGGTAAAACAGGTGCTATTATGATCCCCATTTTACAGATGAGGAAACTGAGGCAGAGATGAAGTGATTTACCCAGGGTCATCTGGTTCAGAAGTATTAAGCAAACACGTAACACACCTTTTCTTCATCTAATTTTTGCCTTCTTTTCTCCTCTGCTGCTGCTCGTCGTTGCTGCTCTTTCTGCTTCTGTTCTTTTAACTTTCTCTGTCTTTCTTCTAACTGCTTTTCATATTGCAGTTTCACTTTTTTTTCTTTTGCAAGCAGTTGAGTTTCTTTAAAAGCTACAATATTCAAAGCACATTGTTGACAAACAAAAATAGAAGAAAAAGCAGGTTTTCTTTAATATACAGAGAAGGAAGAAGCAAATGCCATTCCCCCTTTTCCTCAAACAATACACTCTGCATATTAAGTCAAACTAGGTGTCACTAGGTAATTGAAGACTCATGAGTACACAGAGACAACCATCACAGAATTAACTGCATTATTCGTTCTCTCCCAACTGTATCTGTAGATCTCAAACATGAGAATTCAATTTTCTTTTTTGGAAATATGGCAACTTAGCCTGAGCTCAAATTTCAACATAAGTATTTATGTGGAATGTTTAAGTTACGTACCTACCACAAAGTCCTACTCCAATGCTTCAGGTGGCTTTTAGGTAACTCTGGGTCCTTGAAAACGACGACAGTAAAGTGCAAACTTGGGCAGATTCTGCTAGGAAAGCTTTTGAGTACAGGTCCAGACTGCCTGTTCAGCAGGCTGGCAAACTGGTGCTGAACTCAAAATGTTTGACCATGATAATCCATGAAACAGTGACAAATAAAAACTGTCATCAGTAAGGTGTGTACTACTTCAACTTCTGCAGCAAAGAGGCAAAGTGTAGAAAAGGGAGCAGAAGGTGCTAAGAATTCCACAGGACAGAATAAAACATCAACTGGAAATCATGGAAAACAGGAGAGGTACCTCTTGTTGGACACTAGAGAAAGGCAACTGTCCCAATTTAGATGAGAAGAGAACAGCATCTATAAATTATAGGTCAGTGAGCTTGACTTTGATTTTGGGGAAAATTCTGGAATTAATCATTAAAAAGGTGATTGGCCAATACGTAGAGAGAGGAGTGGTGATTAGAAAGAGCCAAGATGCTTTTGCTTTTTTTTAATCAAGAACAGGTCATGGCAGACTGACTTCATTTCCTTCTATGACAGGATTATTAGAATAGATGAAGAGAATCCTATGGATATAGTTTACTTAGATTTTAGCATAGTTTTTGACAAAGTATCTCAAGCTATTCTTGTAAAAAAGATGGAAAGATTAGATGGACTAGAGAACAATATAATCAGATGTATTCAGACCTGGCTGGATGTCTGACTCAAAGAGTAGTGACTGATCCAATGTCAGTATGACAGAAGGTCTCCAGAGGAGTGAGTTCCCCAAGGATTGGGTTTTGGCCAGGTACAATTTCACATTTTATCAATGACTCAGTTAAAGTCAGGGAAGATAGGTTCATCAAGTTTGCAGATAACCCAAAATTGGGAGGAGTAGCTAACACTGCATGGAAGAATGAGAATTCAAGAGGATCTTGACTGACTACAGCATTGGGCTGAATATGGATTCCAACAGGAATAAATGTACCCTTGCACTTGGGTACAAAACACTTCACTTCAGAAGCATATAATGAGAGATGTATGGTTCTATAACAGTTGTTCTGAAAAGATCTGGGGGTTTAATGGACTACCAGCTCATCAAGAGTCAGAAGAGTGATATGGCAGCCACAAAAACTACTACGAATTGAACTGCATTAAAAGAGGCATGCATGTCTTCTGTGAATAAGGAGGTGATAGTCCGATTATACACTTTCTCATCAGACTTCCTCTGGAACATTGTGTGGAATTCTAGGCACCACAGTTTAAGAAGGACATAAAGAATAAAAAAGTTTAAAAGGACATCTGTTGATAAACTAGAGAGTGTAGGGGATGGGGGGGGTGCCTCACCCAGGATGGTGAAGGGACTTGAGTCCATGTCATGTGAACATTAGTTGAAAGAACTAGTTTTGTTTAGCCTGGAGGGAAAAAAGAAAGAATCGAAGGAGGCATGATAGGTATCTTCAAGGACCTGATGGACTACCACAAGGAGGAGGCAGTAGACTTTTTCTGTTTGGCCCCAGTGGACAAATCCAAAAACAAAGGGCAAAGAGGCAACTCTGAGCTTGATGTTAGCACAAATTTCCTGACAATAAAACACTGTCTAAAAGTGGAATGGGATGCTTCAAGGGGCATCCCTCCTTGGAGCTCTTCTGGACCACCACCTTTCAAGTGTGTTACCGTGGAGATTCCTTTAACATATGGACCAGACAGTCTCCAAGGTCCCTTCCAACTTTCAAATTCTATGATTTCACAGTACAGGATTTGAAGCATATTAACATTTTCACTATAAATAAAAAAAGCAAAACTGTCAGGAAATTCAAGTTAACTGGAAGGATGCCTCACAGGTTTCTCCTTGAAGAGGCAAATAAAGGCATTGAGAGAGTTGTTTCAATATATGTCCAGAGACAACAATAAGCATCATTTCAAGGGACAATTGGGCATTTCATTTTGCACTGTTCATAATGACCATAAGCAAAAGGTAAACAAGGATAATTGTAACTTATGTTCCGACACCTGTTGCAAGGAGGAGAAGGTAAAGAAATTCCAAGAACTCAATCAGCAAGCCACTAAATTAAGTCAACGTATACCTTAATACCTAGTGACTTAGATGCAAAGGTGGGTGTGCAGGAGGAGGTTGAAAATACACCATAAAATATAGTCCAGGAGGATTAAGAAAAGAAAGAGGCTAAAGACTTGTAGACTACACAGAAGACTGATCATGATGTATCATGAAGACTTTCTTCAAGAGGAGTCAGAAGGAATTGGACATGTCCTACTTTATCACCACCAGAAAATGAAATTGACAATTATTAAAGACAGACAGGCAAAAACTCGTTACCAACATGGGGAGCATTTCAGAATCAGCTCTCTGTAGAGACGAACAACTTGACAGAACACAAAATAAAATCAAAACCAAATCAGTCTACATGTATCGTGGACAGACACTTGAAGACAGAAAATAGCCTGGGCCCAAAGGGGAATAGCAGAATGAGAGCGAGCTGGATTGCTTTTTGGCAAACTGAGTAACTCTTCACAAGCTGATCCCTGAAACAAAAACCCACCTTTATAACACTAATATTTTTCCTAGTGAAGTTATATAAATAGTCATGGAATAATACTGTAAGTCATGGAATACTGTGATCTCCCAAGAATCAAAATGGCAGGTGACCTAAATGGCAATGGAAAGATGTGTGTGATTGTGTGGTGGTGGTGCTGGTGGTGGAGCTAAAGTATATTACTAACAATGACTTGCACACAAGAAGTGGTATATCCAAAAGATGCACGATCAGTAAAGCTGGGGGGGGTGGCAAGAGTGGGGGAGGTGCGGATGATCATGTAATAAGAGCACGAGACAATAGATGGGAAACCTAAATGCTATTTAAGAAGGTCTTGACCACATTTAGTGGGCTCCCTATGGTGAATTTATCAGAGAAAAGAGGTACACAGAATAAGAATATGGGGATGAGTAGTGATCTGTACCACTAAAGGATATAACTACACAGATCACAAATATAATGAATTATTGGAGTATAACACTCAATGCTAATTTCAACTGAAGCAAAAACCCAGACCAACATAAGGTATTTTAAAAGGAGATTAACTTCCCCTTGCTCACCTCCCAAAAGGAAATGGAAGGAATTAATGTTTACTTTCAATAGCAAGCACCTGCTACAGACTTCACTTTTAAAAGTATATTCAGTACTCTAGTTTCTACACTCATAGAATAAGTCTGATAGCACATCAGACAAAAGCAGAACATTGTACTGTGTCCACATAGTTCCTCACTTAAGAAGACTACGTAGTATCTGTGCAGTCCTAAAAAAAAAAAGTCTTTCACTTTGCTCCAGAGAGCTGTGCCATCAAAAACTAGGTTAATTAAGAATTCATTTGGATAAAGGCAAGTACTAGTTTTGCCAGGTGATTTGGTAGGCAATAGAACCGAGACACAGTAAATGCCGTATTCTTTCTGGCTATAGGATTCCTCGTTTAGATCTATATTTCAATACTTCAATGACTGTGACTTTATTGGGGGGGGGGGCCGAGGGTACTGCCATCACCAAGGCAAGCAGCTCACAACTTTCCTATTGCAGCTTTTCTGGCTTTGGAGGAACTAATTGCACATGCGCTTCACTGCCACAGGCTTTGGAACCCAGAGTTACTCATCTCCATGCAACACTGAGGCACTGGAGTAGGATTTTAAATCTTTATTTCTAACCCAGGCTTTAAAAAAAATAATTTGTATTTATCTGGTGCTTACTCGGGGTAGTATTACTATCTCCATTTTCTAGATGAAGATGCTGAGACTTAAAAGAGATGAAGGGGCTTGCCCAAGGTCACAAACTAATTAAGTGGCTGAGCTGGCACCATGGGCCAGGCTTTCTGCCTGATGCCAAGGTGCTTGCCAGTACGTCATGCTAATTATTCAGAGGTGGTGCCTTAGAACCAAAAAAAACAACAACAAAACACCACTATTTAAATGCAAGATATTCATTATAAGCAAAGCAATCAAAAAGAGACATGTAGTATCTGTATTAAGCATCTTGGTTCTTCAGAATTCGTTCTGCTAGCATTCCATCTCATTAATGTTAAGATTCAAGTAATTTAAAAATCTCGGTCTTAGGAAAATAAAACTTTGCTGTTCTCCCTTTCCCTTTCTTTCCCAAAATAGAAATTACTCTTTCAGAAAGTTAAATAATCTAACCTAATCTAACATTTTCCCCTGGGTTCTCAATAGCTAATCTCACATCTCTGTATGACATATTATACAACATGAACAGCTTAGCAAAAAGTAAATAAGCCATCCTGGAAATATCTAACCCCGACATGATCACAGACAGTTATTTGGAATAAGACCACACATGGAACCTCTAACATACCATATTGTTTTTCCCGTTCTTCTCTGCGTTCTCTTGCCAGTCTTTGCCTTTCATCAGATCTCAGAACTGAGCCATCTATCACTATATAAAAATAAATAGAGAGTTAACTGAGGATATTGGCATTTAAGAGATGACAATTTGAGAGCTATTACAAACACTGCATGACATATACCTGGCTTAGTTGATGATTTCATATTTGAAGGTTGGGCTGGAACAGCAATGTTGCCACTTTGGTTCCTTCTTTCTTTGGCAACTGCATGGGCTGCAGCAACTGAAACAGACATCAGGAGGAAAACAGGGTTTGATGTGGACTTTCACTTCATGGAAATCTTTTTGGTGACCTACTTGTTCTACATATCCAGGACCATTTGTCTTCGGTTGGCCTTGCAGGATAGCCAGTGTTAGTATGTAGGTGAGTGACTCTCGGGGGCCAAATTTGGCTTGAAAGGTACAGGCCACTTCATTTACTATGTGGTCATACAGCAAGAGAAAACACACATCACCCAAAGGAAGAAACAAAACTCCTTGTGTCCACCATGACACTCTACAATCCCATTCTCTATCTACTCTAGCTTCTAGCGAACAAGGCCAGGGGTTGCTCTAACTTTTAATCACAGAACATTATAGGGTGGAAGTAACCTTAGAAATTGCTTGTCCAACTGTCTTCATTTTATAGAAGAAACTGAGGCCTAGAAAAGGGAACTGATGGAGCCTCAGCACCACAGCAAGTTAGTGGCACAGACAGAGCTAGACTCTGGGTCTCCTTCCTGGCAGCCCCAGATAAGACAACATAGAAACCAACAAGATTTGCTACCTGGCTACAAGAACAGGCTTCTGTTTTTCTTACTCAAGATTTGATGATGCCTTCCTACTAGACTAAAATACTTGCTCAAGCAGAATCCTGACCTGATGCCCTTCCTTATTAAAGTCCTACTTGCTTAGAAGAGTTTAGACATGCTAAAGACATGAATATCTTCAATTTTCTTTCACATCTATCTTTTGCCTCTTCAAAAAAATTTTATTTAGTATTTTATTTTTCCCCAGTTACATGTAAAAGTAATTTTAACATTTGTTTTTAAAACTTTGAGTTCTGAATTCTCTTCCTTCCCCCCCCCACCCACTGAGAAGGCAAGCAATTCAATATAGGTTACACATCACATCGATCTTTTGAAAAAAAGGTATGAAAACAGCACACTGAAGCCACAAGTGTAGTTGCTGTCATTATCATGTCAGTAGGAGACTGTTCCAGCTTGGCAAAGTCTACTACAAAAGCTAGTCTTCAAAGCATCCTGTAGTATTGTAATGTTTTTGAATATAGTTTCTGACATGCAAAGTATATTATGATATTCCAGAAAACTGTTTTTAGGCCTCTCTGAGACCAGCAGCGGAATGCCTCAATTCCAGATCTGTTCCTTCCTTTTCAATACTCCCCTTTACTGCCTTTTCTGTAAACTTCCAAACTCCATGAGTGCTTTCCCTATTTGATTTTCTGGCTAATGCCTCATGTTTCCATGACTATACAGAGATAGGAAACCAATCAGATGGGCTGGACTCAATCAAGGATGCACAGAGGACAGCCATGCTGGATATAACACAATTCTTAAGGTGCTAAGGGATCAATCCTTAAGAAATCTAAAGGAAAGAAAGACACCAAAGGTATGGGGGAAAAAGTCTTGAACTATATTTATTACTAAAATGAGGTGAATGAGAGAACATTAGGACCTGAAAACCCTACATTCCTAACTATATAAAACTTTTATGAACAAAACCGACACACAAATTGAGGGCATCACTGACAAAGGAATGAAAAAGGAACAGGAGGGGCAGGTAGGTGACACAGTGCCAAAAGGCAGAGAAGCTTGCTCTGGCTGAGACTGCAGCATGGCAGCCCTCTGTACTGTGACAGTACTCCAACAGAAAACTGAGGAAGAAAAAGAACGCTCTACTAGGTCTGAGGGGAGAGGAGAAAGGTGACAGGGAAAGCACCTAAGTGGGACCAGTTCTGTCCCCCCTGGAAGTCAATTGGAGCAGAAACTTAAACCAATGAAACAAATTTCCCAGTGTGGGAAGATGCTGAGACAGCTTTGAGGTCCAGCCCTGGATAACTGCTTTCAAAAAAGTAAAGGAGTCCAAAAGTGATAGGATCATATAAAGGAGAAAGACTTAAATGACCAAAGATTTCAGGAAGACAAAAACTCAGTTAAAGATCTTGAACATAAACAGATAAACTAACAGCAAAGGTATTAACAGAAGGGAAGATAGCCTCCAGATCATCTAAATGCATCCAGACATCTCTGAATAAATACTGCAAGACAAAGGAAAACAAGTCCAGAGGACCCTGTGGATTCCCAAGAGAGCATGGAACCCCAGCAGCATGTTCCTGAATAGTTTAAGAGAGAAATAAGAATTGTGAAAGCAGAATTTATGGCCTATATGGCAAAAATAATTGGCAGGATAGAAAAACTTGAATCCACAGTGGCAAACTTCACCAAAGAAACAAAGAGAGAACCAGTGCAAATAAACCGAAGTGAGGGACAATATAGAAGACAACCAAAAAGCAACAACATTAAAAGAAGGGAAGAGACAAACTTCTATAAAGAATATCCTAAGGTAGACCAGATCATTAGTCCCACAACTGACTGAAAGATGTAGAGAAGCTAAGTATTTGTTGATTATAAAATAGCATTTGATTTTATAGAGCAAAACAATGTCTTAAAGGTTCTCCCCTCCAACAAAGTGTCATATGTCAAAATCATACAAAACTCCTTGAAAAAAGGCTTTAAATGCCAGGCTGAGGATTTTGTATTTTATCCTAGAAACAACAAGGATCCACTGAAGATTTCTGAGTAGGGAAGAGACTTGATCAGATCTGTGTTTTAGAAATACTAAGTTGGCAGCTTCGTGGAAGACAGATTGGAGAAGGGGTAGCCTGGAAGAAGGGAGACTAATTAGGAGGCTATGGCAACAGTCCAGGAGAGTAATGATGAAGGTCTGAAGTAGGGAAGAAGCTTCATGACTGATGAGAAAGGGACAGATGCAGGAACTCTTGTGGAGGTAAAAATGAGCAAACTTGCCAAGAGCCAAGGAGTATGCCATTAAAACCACAATCACCGAATTATAATCAGGCATGCCAGATTTTAATTAATTTTTTAAATGTGTGAATCACTCACTCCCACCCTTGAGATCATTGATCCACTGAAGTTAATCACTCGTTTGTCAAAGCCTCCAAGCCTACGTATAATGATGAAAGCAGACAAGTGTGTTCTCTCATAATCCCCTACTTGTCTTGGTACCCTTGGGATTCAAACCTCAGGGCTGTTAGCAGAAGGTTAACACAAATTTCATTTCAGAGTTTCTTCAGAGAAGGTTAAACCCCAAAGTGAGGAAAGTTCAAACTACATAAAGCCTCATAGATTAAAATCAAACCCTGAAAATATGCCTGGAAGCAAGTCAGTTGCAAAGGTAGGTTACAGAACCTAATTATACCACGTTCTGTGTAATCAATGCAGACACACTACTCTATATAAACTGCCAGTTTCAAAAGGTCAAGGGTAAACCCAAGTAGAGCATTAATTTAAAAGCTTGGTCAACCCCCAAAAGATCCATTTTTGAAAGAGACAATAATCTGTGAGGAAAATGAATTTTTTAAAGGCACTCCCTATGCCCGAGAACCAAGATCCACTGCGGACCAAAAAGTAACCTTATTTTCAAATACTAATCTAAAAATAATGTTGCTTCTTAATCCACAGGAGGGTAGGAATTATAGGAGTCTAGATAAAGTGAACTGAATAAAGAATGTAAAAATACAAGTCTGGGCAAAATACTTTTGTATAATGAAAATGTGACAATGGGAAGGCATTTTAAAAATAAGACAGACTGTGGCTATGGAAATACTAAGTTTAGAGAAACCTTGTAAAACTAAAACTCTCTCACATGGGGTGGGGGGAAAGCTGAGAAACTTTTCTGAGGAACTGTTTACCCAATAATATTCAGTTCCAGGATGAAGTAATGTATCACAATGGAACAAATCACCAACAATAAAGGGTTAGTTGGATTAGAGATCACAATACACAAATTGTTTTTAGAAGCATTTAGTACATTAAAAAAGATGACGTGAAAAACCTGAGGTCTTTTCTGAACACTAAATGTGATTATTATTATTAATGACTTTCAGATTTAGAGCAATCAAATGCTGACTCTTTTTCCTCCAAAAAACCCATCAAACTATCCTACCTAAGACTTTGCTCTCACAGGGTACAACTGAAGGCAAACAAGCTTGGAAGGAAGAACACTTCTCCATGACAACTAGTTCTAGCACAGTAATAATCCTCCCAAAGCTGTGCCCAGGAACAATTATCTCAAAGAGCTTAATCTCAAGTGATGCCAATGATAAATACTAATCACAATACTTATTCAGCAATTCTAAACTGTCACCCACAGCTGCTCCTCTTCAAGTCAATGCCTATGAAATGTGCAGTTACAGATCTATATTAGTTCTCTTCAGAATCTTGTCTACAAAAGGAAAAATAAGAAATGAGGAAAAGAGTATTTTTATTCAGTAGCAAAGGGAACAGTGACTAGCAAAGATTTAGGTTGGAAGTTTTATGAATAAAAATGGAGGACTCACAACTTCAATAAGGTTTTGGTTGTATTTACTATCTCAAGAAATTAGTTTGCTTGTTTTTACAGATTAATTGATTTTGTACTTACTATTGCTTGGATAGCAAAATGAAAATAAATAGCCACCCCAAATTAATTTATTCAGTTCCCATTGGGCACAGGGTACTTGGCTCCAGGAGTGTTTATTCCTACTTTGGGGGTGAGGGATTTGTTAAAACTCCTAAAATACATTTGTCACTTTTCACTAGATGACAAATTTCGAAGTCAATTACACCATGACTGTATTAAATGTGCTCTAATCAGGAAAAATAAATCAAACAATAAATACACAGTTACTATTAAAGAAGGAACATTTGAAATTCAAAAATTTAGATTTGCTGTGACTTAAAGTGTGCTCAATATTTAATAAGATTTCTGGGGGTGTCTGCAACTCTATCTACGAAATGGTTAAGCTGCTCCAAATAGCTTATTAATTTTCTAAAGTCCCTACTCAGACTGCGAGGTCTGGAACGAACTCTCAGCAGCTAGGTGGCACAGTGGATAGAATATTGGCCCTGGAGTTAAGAAGACCTGAGTTCAACTTCAGACACTCCCTAGCTGTATGACCCTGGTCAAGTCACTTACTCTGTCTTGGTTTCCTCAACTGTAAAA